ACTTCACATTGTAAAAATGGGACTACATCCATGAAATCCAGTTTGTGGAAATATTACTGCAGATCTTTGATATAAAGCACTGTGAGTGTGCAGTAAAGGATGGGCTTTATAGCAGCACAGAATGGTAGAGGTAAACTTCATCATTCTAGAACTGTAATTTTAGTTCCTCGACAGTGATGGCAAAAAAATAATCTTTGGAATCTTAGCTTTTCTGAGGAAAATGTGAGTGTATATATTCCCTAGAATATCTCACACAGAGAAACTTCTAGAGGTTGCTTAGGTTTGTGGGCATTTCTTTGTTGTTCATTAATTGTAAAAAGGATGAATATAGTTTAAAAGTGTGGGTTTTTGTGTTGGTGTTTTTTCTATGTTTCTTGTATTGCAAAATATGTAATTCCACATTGTCTTTTACGTTTTATTGCAACTCATCAATGTTTGAAGAAGAGAGTGTTAGCAGTGATTTGGTTTCTCCACACAGCAGCAATTCAGAGATGTCCATGTGGTTGTGGTGTGTTAGGAAAATAGTTTTAACTATGTAGATAAAATGGCAAGCCTGCGATTCCTTGGTACCCAAGCTGGATGTGGCTCTGGGCAGCCTGGTCTGATGGTTGGTGATCCTGCACATAGCACATAACTAGATAATCAGTGTAGTCCTTTTCAACCCAGGCCATTCTATGATTCAGTACTGCAAGATTTTGCAGTAAAAGTGTCCCCTCAGTTTTCTCTGCAGAATCATAGTACGCCTTGGATGGGAATGGACCATAACGTTCATCTGACATGGACTGGTTGCCACCAACAGCTCAGGCTGCCCAGGGCTTCATCCACCCTAGTCCTGATCAGCTCCAGCGATGGGGCAGCCACGGCTTCTCTTGCAGCAGTGCCAGGGCCTCGCTACCCTCTGAGTAAAAGAACTCCTTCCTAATATCTAATCTATATCTCCCCTCTCTCAGTTTAAAACAATTTTGCCTTGTGCTACTGTGTGCCAAATAGAAACTCGAAAACTAACACTCAGCATTATTAGGAAAGGAAGATAAAACATGCTTTGATTTGTTTGATTTGTTAAGACCTTGCATTCTAACATTTGGTGTAGCCATGTATGTGGAAAAACTCAGCGCTTTCCTGTAGGAATAGAGAATAATTTTCTTTTTTCATATCTTTCCTGATAGTTTAAGGCACATGCTTCAACATATTATCCATACTTGTGTGAAATCATGCAATTTGACCTGATTCCTGAGCTTCGAGCTGTGCTACGGAAGTTCTTCCTGCGTATAGGTGTTGTGTTCAAAATCTGCATAACAGAGGAGCAAATACGGACAACTGGGACAAATTTACCCTCATGGTAGCCCTAAAGTAGAATTGGTTACTTCTGCTTCTTCATAAAGCTGCTCCAGAGATGGACTGAAGTGGATAGGGGAAGAAATGGGACCCTGGTATAAGCAAAAGAAAGCAAGTTACTCTTAACACAATGGCATTTGAGGAGGAATGGGGAGGGAAGGAAAGGGGGGGGGGGGGGAAGTCCTGACCATCCTATGAGAGTATCACCAATTTTTATTTAAATTATTGCTAACATAATTAGTGCTGTAGATATAAAGTCTATTTGTTTCCATGCTCATTATCCTTATGATCAAGTTTCTCTCTTCTAGTCTTCTATCAGTTGTTCAGTTTTGCAGCCCAACCAAATCTTACAAATAACTGGATTCCTCAATGGAAGTTATTCCCCATGGAAGTAATAAATATAGTTGTATAGCCTTGTGATGTCAGCATGTGCTCATAATAAACTATATTGCAGTGGCTGATGACCACCTCAGATCATTCTGGATTTTTCTTTGTGTGCACATGGCTAGACCAGGCAGTGCATTATAGGTTTTCATGTAGACAGCCTGTAGGATATTTGGGGAAGGGGTTTTCCTCTTGTTCATAGGTGATTTTAGAAGAATTTTTTTTATATCAGTGCTTCATCCTCCAAGATCCCTCATTTTTATGGAAGAAGTACATAGTAGTATCAACTCCACTGAGCTCCTTAGTCTTGAGTTCAAAGCATTAAAAAAGAAAAAGATAAATTTTAAACTTCCCATTGACTTTGATATATGTCCAAATCATGGACGCAGCATCTACATTAATATTAAAAACAGGGTTCAAAGAAAACAAAACAAAACACCCTCTTTATCCTTGAAAACAGTGTATTTAGTGTATTTAGTGGTAGTGATCTGTTTAGGAAGTCTTATTCTTAATACCTCTGAAATTCTCTTTTTTTCTTTTACTGTATACTTTCAACTTCATTTTTTTTTTTTCTTCATGCAAATAACTAATAGTTGAGAATAAATGTCACTACTGTGAAATCTGAATTCCTTGACTGCTTTAGCAAAATAAATCTTAAGATCAGTCGTGCACTGTAACAATTACCAGGACATTTATGTGATTTCAAAAACATGTGAAGCAAACATGATTTAACACAATCTTTGTTTGCTTACCCTGGAGATTTTCCTTTCTTCAGCACGCCTAAGTTTTTTCTGACACTGTTTCCATCACATAATACCAGTTTATAACAGAAGTCCAGCACAGTGGAGTTATGTCCTTCGAACTAACCTTAATTTCAAGTTTTAATTTCAAGACTTTTTTTCAAAAATGGAAAAGCATGGCAGGATGGGAGAAATTCCACTTCCTGAAACGTGTAAACACAAGTGTTACCCACTGTGTTATCTGTATCAGCAAACCTCAGAAACAACAGTATTCAACAACAGCGACAACAGAACAGTACTGTGTTCAACTTGTTTTGCTTTTGAGTTTCCTAATAAGGCAGTCATAGTTGATGTAGTGTTGAGATATTCTACTCTCAGAGTTATTGGTGTGTGTATATATACTTTTTTTTTCTTGTGAGCTATTTCCAAAGGGCTCATGGGCATTCTTCAGTAAATCAGCTTGTTCTATGTAAGCATCGTTTGGCAATTGTTTGGCAGTCAGTAGTATTGGTAAGGCTTTCAAGTTTTTATTTTTAACCAAAGAAAGGCCACAGCCAGGCTAGGTTTTAAACACCCTATAGATTAAGTCTGTATGCTGATATTTAATATGAGGAAATATATGGCTATATTTTAGCATAAGAAAAAGACTGAAAAATAAGCGTTGCCAATATTGAACTTGCTGCATTTGAAATGTCACTTTATGTTGCATTTAGTATATTTGCTTGTTCCCTGGTAATGTCACTTAATTACAATAAAATGAAGTATTTATTTTAATTCTATTTAAATTTTTAATAAATTTGAAAGAATAAGCCATTATTTTTCCTTCCTGTCCTAGATAGTTCTTAAGCATATGTATATTATTTTCAGGTTTTGAATGTGACACTGCCTCATTGAATGTATACCTGTATCTCCTTTCAAAACACAAACTTTAGAAGAAGCATGCAACTTCAGTTTTGAAAGCCTTACATCTCAAGTCTTGGAAGAGGTCTCCTAATGTTCAGATCTCAAATTCGGAGTTGCATCGTGGGCTTTCTTTACTGTAATGTGCAACGTACTATCTCTGCATATTAATTAATCAGTCCCTTCTTTTCAGCCTTAGTTCTGGGAGATTCTTCTTTTACTCAAGCTTTTATTGTATTTGTACCATTTATAAACTGCTGAAATTAGGCATGTGACATTAGAAACATTCTAGACTTACTGTAGTGCATGGAGGAGAAGGGGACTGGAATGCAGTGGGATTGTAACAGCCTTAATCCTGTCATGATTTTCTGGAATTGATTTTACATCCTAAAGCAATAAGAGTAGTATGCAGAGCGTATACTGGAATACCTGAAACAGCTGTGTATTCACATCAGCTTTTTGTTCTCCTTCGTGCAATCAGAAAGATCCTAACCCACAGTCATCTTAATGGAGCATAAAATGCTGGGCCAAAATGCCTGCAGGCGCTGCTGGTTCTGGCCTTGTTCTGGCTCTGCTGCTGTGGGATCTGACCTGCCTGGGTAGTTCTTCAGTGGAAGGATGAATGAAACAGGGTTCTGTGTCAGCATATCCCAGTAGAGATCTCTGCAATACACAGAGTAATAAAAACAAAAAACCAACACAGTTCTTGGACTGCTGAAGTGCTGTTCTGCAACAGATGGCAGACAGATTTTTACCTATAAGGGTACAAATATGGAGACTGCATGGTATTTACTGCTACTTATTGTAGACCCTTCCAGGCAGCAGGCTGGGGATGCTGTGAGGAGAGCCCTGTGCCCTGCCTGCCATCTCACTCCGGGGCTCCTTCCCCTTTCCTGCCCCGCTCCCCGAGCTGCCAGCAGAGCCGTGCAGAGCAGCTCTGCCTGAGAGGAGCCAACAGCCCCGACTTCAGCTATTGGCAATTAAGTGTAGTATCTTTTAGCCTGAAGTAAAATTACGCTTCTCCTGTCCAAAGTGCGGCTCTCTTTAATCTGTAAATTGTTTGTTCAGCACCTTTAATGTTGTTTGTGTAAAATGTATGTTTTCACGTATTTAAGATGCCTATGTTTCTGAGGACTGCCATATGAAGTGCATTTAATACCGATAAAGAGCAGTCCTTGTCCTCTGGTTGTACACATTTTTGAGAGAATAGCAGAATTATAAAATATGAAAACCTATGTAAAGTTTTCTACATGAAAATACTATGTATAATACTGTTACAATACTCCATGCTTTAATGAAGTGGTAAATCAATAAAGTTTTAAGAAGTGGAGCTTGGCTTTAGCAGTGCTTATTGGAACGTGGGAGGGAGCAGAGAAACCCTCCTTCCCTCCTTCGTTTCCTCAGGGATGATTACGGATGCTAACGAGGAGCCGCCCTCCTGGCCTCGCTCCCGCCCAACACCGCAGGCGCCGCCTGACGGGCACTGCGGCGCGCAGCGGAGCCTTATGGGAAGAGCTCGGTTATTGGCTACCGTCTCCACGTGAGACGGAAGGCACGGATTGGCTCGACGCGCGGCGCGTCGAGGCAGAGGGGCCCGCTGATTGGCTCGGCGGCCTGACGGTGTCGCCGCCCTGCGTGATGCGGTCACCGTGCCGCCGCCGCGCCCTCTCACCACAGTTTGAATGTGAAGCGCAGCCGGAGCTCTCTGAGCCGCCGCCGCCGCTTGGAGGAGGCCGACAGGTGAGGTTGAGCCGCGCCGGCCAGCGATGCCGAGGGTGCGGCGGCCCCGCAGTCCGGCCTCCCGCACGGCCCGCGGCCGCCGCCGCACCGTTCCGCTGCGGGCTCGGGCGCTTGGGCCCGCGGCGCAGCGAGAGGCGCAGCGCACCGTGATGGAGCGCCTCGACCCGCCTCCCGCGGATCCGGATTGGCCGGCAGCCTTTCGGGGGCTCTTCTCATTGGCTCCCGCGGCTGCCAGTCGGGAGGCGGCGGGGGGGGGAGGGCGGCAAGTTAGGCTGCGGCCGGCCGTTGCTGCGCGGGGATCTCGGGCAGCTCCGAGCCGTCTCGCGCAGCGCGGGCGGCCCCCAGCCTGAGGTGAAGCGCTGGGATGGCGCCGCCGGGAGCAGCAGGGCCGCGCAGGGCAGGCCCTACCCGAGGGGCTTTCCCGGAAGGCCCCTGAGCCGAGCGGCCGCCTCCTCGGGACAGCCGCGTGTCTCGGGCGGGCCGTGGGGTGGGCAGCCTGCAGTGACGGGCTGTGGCGCGGCGGGACGAGGAGCCGCCTGCACACCGGCGCCATCAGTAGGTGCTGTACGAGCAGCTGCCGCGGGTTGTGGTGGTAGGAAATAGGAAAAAAAGGGGAGGGGGGAGCGGGAGGGAGGCGGTGGCGGAGGAGTGGCTCGTGCTGAGCCGGGCGCTGCGGTGCTGTTTCTTTATGCTGCCGTCCGTAAGGGTGCTGCTGGCTGGGGACGGCAGGCAGGAACTCCTAGAAGGGAGGCGGGCGGGGCAGGGGAGGCACAGTGTTTCAGGTGAACTTTTTTGGATTTTTTGCACTGTGTCTTGGGATCTCAGTTGTTCATTAACATTGATTTAAACCAAGGGGGTATTGTTGCTGATAGATATAGAAGAAAAACTCACTTATTAAAACTCACAGCTTTTGCAGAAGAGCTTAAATAGGAACCATACTTACTGCTCTGATGGTCAACAAAGAATAAACCTAAAGTGGGGTGGGAAAATTCCAGCCTGTCTTAATAAGGAGAAACTCCAGGGGATAAAAGAGCATTTGGCTTCTCATTATTTCTGTAGTAAAGGTGTTATGGTACTGCTGGGAGAACAATGGGCAGCATGCAGTACTTCGGCTGTCAGGTGATGGTTGGATTTTGAGGCCTTGTGGGTCCTTTCCAACCCAAATAATCCCATGGTTCTGGTGATACCCTAAGCCATGTGCCTGCTGAAGCGTGTCTTAATGCTGTTCTGGTGTTACTGTAATTTTAATTATTCCAATTAAAGCTGTGAAGTTAATGAACCACTGTGGTAAGTATGAGAGTACGTGTGGGAAGTCAAATCTGACTTATTTGCACAGTTATTCTGTAATAAGTACTGCAGGTGAAATTATTGCCTGCCCCGATCTGGGTTCGTTTTGCAGGGTGGACAAACTCTTTGGCTTTCTGCAGTCTTTCATCACTTCATTAAAAATTACTTTCAGTTGAGAATTTTCTAGAGATAGCATTTATTTGTAAATGGGCCTTGGCTCTTCAGTGCACTTCAGGTCATTCTGTTGTCCATCATTTGGATCAAATATTCCATTTTTTCAACAAGGAATAGATTTCTGTGGGTGGCAGTAGTTTTAAAAGGAAGCTCATCCTCTCATGGAAGGGTGAGAGATCACCTTTTGGCTTTACCTGAGTAGTGGTTCATTGGATGTACGATCTAGTTTTAGGGGTTTGCCTTCAGGAACCTGGACAACAACAGTTACATGAGGCATGTTTTAGAGTTTGTATTTAGCTAGCTGTTTTATTGGATAGATGTATGAGTCCCTGCTTTAAGAAGTGTAGTCTAAAAAAAGCAGATGTGATTCTTCTGTGGAATCACGTTTTGTGTATGTGGAGCTTATAGGGTGGATTTTCTGATCTGCATTAACAAAACTGCTTCTGTGTCGTAGTTTCTGCCAAAATGGAGCTGAGCGATGCCAATCTACAGACCTTAACTGAGTATCTAAAGAAAACACTGGATCCAGATCCTGCAATAAGGCGTCCTGGTAAGCGATTGTCAGGGTTTCCTCTCAGCTCTGCGGTCTGTGTGTAACAAACTTTAGTAGAAATTTATGCAAAACTTTGCAGAAGTTCTGTACCTCCTTCTAAAAAAAAAACCAACAAAAAATCCCAAAACTTAATGAAGAACACATTTACATATCAATTCATCTTCTGTTTGCTTTATATAATTTTCTTCTTGAAGCTTGTACTATGTTTTTTTTAAAACAGGGATGTTGTTTACACCAAAGCTGGACTGGCTTCTCTTAGGTCATGGCCTTTAAAAGTGTCAAGGAGGCAATATTTCCACAGCCTGCTTTGAATTGAGAGCTTTTGTTAACAGCAGAAGCATTAAAGAGCTTATAGTAGTAAAGAAGTTACAGTACAGTTTGCTACTTGCCCAGTGCTTCTGTTCCTGTGAAACTCTGCAGAGGTGTTTGTGTTATTTTAAATGGACATTTGAGGAATCGTAGATCTCTAGTTAGGAAAATCAGCTCTGCTTCCTGTTAACCTTACTGCGTTCTCTTGCAGCGGAGAAGTTTCTTGAGACAGTTGAAGGAAGCCAAAATTATCCATTGCTGCTCTTAACGTTGCTGGAGAAATCGCAGGAAAATGTCATCAAAGTCTGCGCGTCGGTAACTTTCAAGAATTACATCAAAAGGAACTGGAGAATTGTAGGTATTCCAGGCAGTATTTCTGCTAAGATTTAATCATCCTTTTAAGGTCCAATAATGTTTAATAACCTTGCAGAATACGTGTGTTCTGTACTTTGGAAGAGAAGATAGATGATACAGAGAATGAACACAATTTACTGATAAGGGACTAAAGCCTCCACTCTTGTTATCCATTCTGTTGGAAAGAAATAAATCTGGGTGATAAAATGGAGAGGAAGAATTCTTCCTAATGGTGTGTGTATCTTTCTGAAGAAGTACAGTATTCACTGCCCGTTTAACTAAGTGTAATATTATTCATGTTAAAATGATTGGAGAACGTCCATATGTGTGAGCTGACCTACTTGGCTGCTCTCAGTTGACATAGTACTGCAACCATTTCTAGCCAGCTCTGCAGCTGGAGGTGAAGGTACTGATTTATTTTTCACATAGGTGCCTCTTAGACGTAGAACCTTTGTAAGTTCAACACATGGAAGTATCTGTAGGCATAAAATAGAAATATTGTCATTTAATCTCATTTTATCCTTTGTTTTGAAAGTATCAGAGGCATTTTTTATTCAGAGCTTTCAGTATGCATGAAATGTAACTCATGGTGTCAAGTATTACATGTAAGAGCTCAGCTCCTTTGTGATGAGAGGTTTCAACTGATCTTGTTTATGCTTTGTCTCCTTGAAAGCACAGTTTGTGTATCTGAAAGTCTCAAATGTATGATCTTGTTATATATCTCAGCTTGTGACTATTCAAGAGTTTGCATGTGATTCCCGCCGTACAAATACTGAAAACCTACAGCAGTCCTTGCTGGTTATGTTTGGTAAAACCAGCACATTCACGCTGGTGTGAAATTTCTAGGCCTTGGTGTGGCTAATACTGCCTTTTCAGTCATTTATCAAAAATTGCTTCTCTGTATGTTGTGTGTTCTAAGCAGAAGCACCACTCACAGAGAAGTGTGTGTCTTCCTTGGTGTAGGTGACTGAAGTGATTCAAGATGTGACATGTATGAGTAGGTGAAGATGCTAGGCAGTGAGTGCCTCCAGAGGACAGTTAGCATTGCCCCAAGTTTGCTTGAAGCCACACGCACTATTTTGTCCAAGATTGAAGCTTTTAGAAGCAGTTTTATGAATATAACCTTAAGGCTAGCTTACGTAGATCACATGGTGTAATTTAGCAGTGTTGGATTAGGACTGATACAAAGCACAGAGGAAGGAAAGTGGTTTTGCCTATTCAGGCAGTTTGATTCTTTGTAAGTTTGTGGAAAGATGATCAAAAAGAACGTGAGGAGGAGGAGGGCAATGCTGTCTGGCTCCAGGCATGTTGAGATCATCAGATTACTTTCTGAATTGCTGGGTAACTTCTATGTTTCAAAACATTGCTACTGTCATCACTGTGAATGTGACTATCCCTGCTGCCGGTGGTTGCTGACAAGCCTTGGTGTTTTGCTTCTTTGATACAGATACCATAATTTACTACCACTCAGCACTGTTCACTTGGCAGGATGATTGGCTGACTCTGAAAGGCAACGTGAAGTTTGTGTGCATCACCTGCACTCACCTTCCTGTCCAGTTGCACAAAATAAATCTTTGAAGTTGGCAGAAATGAGGACAGACATGGTTTGGAGCACTGAAATAGAGGACTGGTGGTTACACTTGTGTTTGTAACTGGCATATGTGCCCGCCCTTATTGCTCCTGAATTGCTGTTTGAAAAGATCACTGTTAGAGGAGAATATTAGTTAGAAAATTAGCAGAAAGGTGTAATTTCTTTCCGCTTTAATCAGTTACTGCTGTGAAAGAGTCATTGTAGGCGTTAACAGATCTTTTAATTTCCTCACTGATGCAGTGGTTTCAGACATTTGTACGTTTGACTTCTGAAACACTGGGATTTGCTCAGTGCCCAGAGTGTACTAATGTGCCAGTGACTGAATTGTTGGTTTTGTTGTAGGTGGAGGATGAACCGAACAAAATATTTGAATCGGACAGGATAGCCATTAAAGCCAACATAGTGCCCTTGATGCTTAGCAGCCCGGAACAAATTCAAAAGCAGGTAATGAGGCCATTTCTGGTTGTGTCCATCAGATTTTTAGAATGATGTAATGTGTCTGGTGGCTCTGGTTACTGTCAGAGCTGAGTTAGCCTTCCAGTGATGTCACCCCTATGCAAATAATTCGGAGTAAATTGTTTAAGTTACTTCTGCCCAGTTTAAAATTAATTTAAAAAAAAAAAACAAACAAAACAACATATTGTCAAATTTCACCATTAGACAGTTGAATACAGTGAGACTGCATGCACACATTGGTTTTGAAGTAAGCTTTGTTGTGATGAAAAAGAGGAGATAGTTAACCCAATGATTTTTGAATCTGGCGAGAACAACAAGCATTCTTAGATAATTGTAACATTTGTCCTGGCTGCTGTGTTTTTTGTAATAAGTAGTGTGCTGCTGGATCATGCAGTGCTTACGTTTCCTTTCCAGTTAAGTGATGCCATCAGTATTATTGGTCGGGAAGACTTTCCTCAGAAGTGGCCAGACTTGCTGACGGAAATGGTGAACCGCTTTCAAAGTGGAGACTTCCATGTCATCAATGGCGTCCTTCGTACTGCTCACTCCTTGTTTAAGAGGTATTGGAGATCAGGGAATTGCTACGTGGGTGTTAGAAAAGAAAAAAGTGTTTAAATCTGAATTTATACTCACCTCTGTGGCTTTCGCGTAGGCTTATTGACTTCTTAGTGAGACTTCAAGTGGTTGTCAAATTTTGCACCTTCTATGGCCTTGAACTACTGTTCAGTCCTTAAGTTTATTTGATAGGATTTGTTTCAAGGTTCGTCATTAGAGATCAATTGCATGCAGAGTAATTGGGGAATAAATGCAAAGACTGTATTCCATTGTTTGTGTATTTCTCCCACTCCTCAGGTACCGCCATGAATTTAAGTCAAATGAATTATGGACAGAGATCAAACTTGTTCTTGATGCCTTTGCATTGCCCTTGACAAATCTCTTTAAGGTACTGCTGAATGATTTCTGAAACAACTGTGGTGTTCTGAATTGCTGGTTATGAATGCCTGTAAAATGAGAACTTAGCAACTCTTGAAACTGTTCATGAAGTTCAAGCTAAAATCAGGAAATGAGACCTGACAGAATCAGTAAGAGGAAGAAAAGGAACTGTATTAACTGGCTGAAAAAATAAATAATACTTCTCAGTGTATCTTGTTGATACAGTTTGTGTGTGGGTTTCTTGGCTAAATTTTCTCTCTTTTTTTTAGGCAACTATTGACCTTTGCAGCACACATGCAAACGATGCCAGTGCTTTGAAGGTTCTCTTTTCTTCTCTCATTCTAATTGCGAAGCTGTTCTACAGTTTAAATTTTCAGGTGACTCTCTTGTTTTTCTCATATTCTTGCTTTGGTCACATAAAGCTGTTATGCTGTTTTGTATAGGATCCATTTGAGGCAGCCTTTAGGGCCATGCTTTATGGCCAAACTAAAGTAAAGATGGGGTTGACAGTAAGGATGGGGTTAATTAACACATTGGCTTGACTCTATCTTAACAAAAGCTGGAGAAGAGAATCTTAAGCTCTCCTGATAGCAAGGTGTTGTGTGGGTAACACTGTTGAGTATGAGCTGTGAGAGGCAGGAGTCCTTTGCCTGCATTCATACTCAGTTTGTTGTTTACTACATGTGTCTGTACTCATACGAGTTCAGTCATGTGGATAAAAGTCAGCTCAGTAACTGTAGTGCTGTGGTAGCAAGCAATCCTGGTATTGTGTAAAGTTTTTTTTTTCTTTCTTTCTTTTTTGAAATGAGATCTTACATTCTAGCAGTAAGTGAGCAGACTGTATGAAAAACAGTAAAACCAGACACTGCTGAGGTGGTGTATATTTAGTGTTTCAGCATGAGCCTGAGTCAGGTGTGATGGTTTCAATTGCTCCAACATCTCGTTCTGTACTGGGCAAAAGAGAAAGCTGGAGCTAAAGGGGAGGCTTGTGCTATCTGATTCTTATCATACTCTGAGAGATGGAGATTGGTCTTTAGACTGTATGGAGTGTATCGACGGGTACATTTGGAAATGTGTTCCCAAGTCTCCATCTGTAGGACTTTTTACTGGTTGGTTGTTCTGGGGGTGTGAAAAGGGGGTAGTTTTTATTTTGAAGGTTTGTTTTCCACTCTTCATTGTACCTCTGTAAATTAAAAGGTGGACACTCACTCAGAGTATGCAGTCAGATATTAAAATGTAGATTTATGCTTTTCCTTCACAGGATTTGCCTGAGTTTTTTGAAGATAACATGGAAACATGGATGACAAATTTTCATAGTCTCTTAACTTTAGATAATAAACTTCTGCAGACTGATGTAAGTACTGCATAAACCTCCTGCTTTGCCTCTGCAAAGAGGAGCCGACTGACAGGAGAGTTGTGTTCTAGCTCTGAGCAGTGCAGTGTTTCCTTTGTTGGGTAAATAAATAGAATGACTGAAAGGAAATGGGATTTGAGAGAACTGGCTCCATTGTCTAAGAAATGTGGAGCCTGGTTTTTGAGGTCGTGTATTAGTTACAGGTTACAGTTGTGCACAGAGATCAGCTTACAGGTACACATCAATGAAGAGCTTCTTTTGAGGCCATCTGCTGAAGTAACCTGATTGATTATTAGAATCACAGGGCTCAGGTTTTCTGTACCTCTCAGCTGGTTCAGGTACTGTATTTTAGAAAACAGTATCTCAAAGAACTTGGAACATTGGAACATATAAGGCATGACTTCTGAGTAGTTTAGCTTACCATCTGCTGGCTAATTATAAGAATTAGTAGTTTCACGTTAATCAAAGCTCACTCAATCATTTGTTCTGTACCTGCTTTCTGCATTTGAGGTGCAGTACAGTAGTTTACCAGCTGGTGGAACCAAAGAAACTATAAATTCCTTCCTTTCCAATGTATGGGGGACATGATAAGCACATTCTGTGTGATAGTTTCATGGTGGTTTCAAGCTAAGGCTGCTGCTAAAAAAGAAAAAGAAGCCTTGCTCATCTTTTCTCCTGCTCTTTTATTTTCCTGTGGGCTGTCGCTCAGCACAAACATCCATGCAGTTGCACACTGAGCTGACTCAGAGAAGTGATATGCATTAAAACTGGAGGTGGGCATTTGGGGAGGGGGGAAAAAGAAAATATGTTGATGGATTTTGGTGTTTTCCAATTCACTTCACTTTGTGGCTCTATGAACATCTGTGCTGCTATGGGGAAGGAGAAAAAAGCATACTTCTGCAACTCTATCAGTTTTAAGTAGACTTCTAAGCTGCTTTACTTTACTAATACAGTGCCTCCTAAGCATATGTTTTCAAAGCCTTGTATTATGTTTTTGCTATCGTATTTGTCAATTCATTCTGTTCTAAACTTTATCAGGTCTAAATCTCTTCAGGGGAGTAGAACTGTTTGAAATGTGGATGTAATAGCATGAATGTATAATCTGTAGTACAGTTCCAGTACACACAGGCAAAATGCAGTAGTTCCAGGCAAGTAGGAGGGGTTTCTGAGATTTTCTGAGACCTATTTAGAACATCACAAAATAATAGCGTATTTTCTTCAAATAATGTTAATTTTAAAGCAGCCTTGAAGTTTGGGTGTTTAAGTACCTACTTTTGTTTTATGTGAGGATGAAGAAGAAGCTGGGTTGCTGGAGCTCTTGAAATCTCAAATTTGTGATAATGCTGCTTTGTATGCTCAAAAATATGATGAAGAATTCCAGCCCTACTTGCCACGTTTTGTGACAGCAATCTGGAATCTGTTAGTCACAACAGGTCAGGAAGTGAAATATGATTTGGTAAGTCATTATGGACTAATCTTATCAAGGTTAATAATGATTTATAAATTGGTCAGTCAGCTAAAACTATATGTGTTTAATGTGTGTTGTTCTAGTTGGTTAGTAATGCAATCCAGTTTCTGGCCTCGGTTTGTGAAAGACCACATTACAAGCATCTGTTTGAAGACCAGAATACATTGACAAGCATCTGTGAAAAAGTTATTGTTCCCAATATGGAATTTAGAGGTAACTTTTTGGGGTTTTAAGTTTTCAAAGACACAATAAAATGTATCTAATTATGATGATATTTTGCTTTACAACGTTGAGAATTTATTTTCTGTGTACTTCAGTACAAGATTCAAAACCAATTTTCTGCAGCAAATTGTTATCTTGTGGGCTTTGTAGAGTTGTATGAATTTCTGTCTTACTGTGATCTCAAATTGAAAAATACAGAAAGTCTAAGTCATGTGCCATCAGTCATTTTTTTTCATGCTGGAAGTGAGTACCAGGCATGGATATATGGCCTTTGAATTGTAGTGTCTTCTTCTCCAAGCTTTGATAGACTGACTTTGATCTTAGTATCTGAAAAGCACTGAAGTTGTCTTACAGTGTTAAGAGGCTTCTCTCTAAATCTATGATCGAGGAAGCCTCTTTTAAATACACTTAGTATAGAGTATGGTTTTGGTTTTGTTTTTTAAGTCAGGAATTGCATCAGCTTGTGAGTATGAAAGACTGCAGTTTGTGGGCCTGCAGGCTGAACAGGATAGTCTGTCTGGGTAGTTCTGATGAATTTCTATGAATGCTATCCTTCTATGAAAGATTAGCAACTTGATAAAAAGGGTGTTGTTATCATTTGAAAAAAAGACTTCAGTATTGAAACTCCTGTGTACGGTATATTTTCAGCTGCTGATGAAGAAGCATTTGAAGATAATTCTGAAGAATATATAAGAAGGGATTTGGAAGGATCTGGTAATCCACAGATTTATACTAAGAATACTTTGTCTTTAAATATAGCTCTGAAGAGTATTTTACTGAGGCTTCTAAAACATATTTTAGAACTCTGGAAGGTGGTGGGTTTTCCCCTAAGATATTTAATCCAGTTTTTGATCAAGTTTACTGTCATGATGCACCCACTGCAGCATCTTTTTGCTTTGAACAATGCTTTTGTAGTTTCTTTTCTGAACCAGATTGATGTCTCCTGCACTGCATGTATTTTTGTTTCAGCAAACATAGCCTCTATATCAACACTGGGTAGTAGCCCTGGCTGTGTATTTAGTTCCTATGTGTGTAAATGACGTGAGGACACTGTCTACATTTGGTAGTCTGTTATGTTTAAACTGGAAACTCTGACCAGTTTTGCATACAACTCCATGATAAAGGCAGCTAGGCAGCGGCCTTTGTGTGCTGGCACTGTTCAGACCAACACAATAACTGTGCTAAAAACACAGTGCTGTGCTAACAGCTTGATTTTCTGATAATCTGTCTTCAGCCAGGTCAGTGCACAAATGGACTAAATCTAGTTCTGTATGACTGTTCTGTGCCACTGAGCTGCTGACGTGGTGCTGACTGACATTTTTAGATGATTGAAGCCTTTTAGTAGGTTTGAGAACTTGCTCTGTGTTGGAAGTAGGGGAAAATTACGTTTGAACTTTCTTTTGAGCAGACATGTTATGATGCTTATCCAGGATTGGCTGCTTTACTGGTATTTATGAAGTTTTATATGTTTGCTATTTCTGTTTTGAAGAGAATTTAGGCAAGAACTATCTGTGTTCTTCTACGGCTCTTTTAGAAACATACTCTGTTGCATTCTGTTGTTTTGTGATCTGTGTGTCCCTCTGTTAATGTATTGTGTTTTTTCCAGCCTTCTTTTTTTTCCCCTCTTTGGGACAGGGTTTTTTTACAGATGTATTACAGAAATGTACTGTTCTGTTGCAGTGGGCCAGCAGCTAAGCACCACACAACAATTGGCTCAGTTCCCACGCTGCCAAGGTGGGATGGGAGGAGAGTAGGAAGACCATGAGTGAGAAGATGAGACAGTTTAATTAGTGAAAGAAGGTGGAAGAAAAAGGAGGAAAAAGTCAGTCTGCTTGTGGAAAGTGGGATGTGATAGATGCCCAGTGTGTCCCCAGGCAATGGCTGCCTCTTCCAGATCCCCCTCCCCAAAGCTTTTATTGCCAAGCACAGTGTTACATGGCATGGGGAAAATCCCTTGGCCCTTTAGATCAGCAGTGCAGCTTCTGTCCATTCCCAACTTGTTGCCCACTCAGCCGATTTGCTGGGAAGGCACAACAGGAAGAAAAGGAAACATTGGCACTGCGAGTACTGCTCAGCAATAACCAAACTGCTGCTGGTGCCTTTAGTCACCAGCCCAGAGCACATCACCATACAGACTGCTGTAAAGAAAATAAAACCTGTAACCACCAGACACAGTGCATTTGGGCACATAATTACCAAGGCAGGAAAAAGCCTCCCTCCTTGTGCTTACTGAAACCTTCAGAGAGCAGTGGGACCTGTGAATACACACGCAGTACGGGTCAATGTCCGTTCCTCCTTGTGTTGTACCAATGATTTTTACTGTTACAATGAGTGAAAAAACTTAAATGTGTTGTTATGCACTAATGTGAACGTTGCAGTAATTAATATGAGCTGTGGCTGTAACTTGAGAAGCTGTAATTACTGATACATTTTAAAATTATGTTTATTAGTATGAAAAGCTATGCAATTTGTCATATCTAAAGAACCTTTTGTTCTTATGCAGATATTGACACAAGGCGCAGAGCAGCTTGTGATCTAGTCAGAGGCTTGTGCAAGTTCTTTGAAGGGCCTGTGACTGGAATTTTTTCTGGATATGTTAATTCCATGCTTCAGGAATATGCAAAGAATCCATCTGTTAACTGGAAGCACAAAGATGCAGCTATATACCTTGTTACATCGTTGGCATCCAAGGCTCAGACACAGAAGGTACTTGGACATTGTGTTCATTTCAATCCACGTGCATTCTAACATTATAGTGCGTGTGAGGACTGGGAAATGTATGCATTTTTAAAAATTCTGCTTTAAAATGAGAATAATTGGATTTGTAATAGTTTGATGTTGATGAGATGGAAAATTGTCCATAATATATGGACACAATGTATGGAAGTCTGATGGTCTCTGATCTTCAGATAGGTTGGATGAAGTCAACAACCACGTGTGATCATTTGACAAGTCTTAATAATATGTATGGAACAGTTATTGAAAAAGTGGCCTAGAATCTCTGGGCTTTCACATGGTATTGAGGCAGAGTGTGCCTCAGTAATTGGTAAGGCCAAATTACAGCAGGTGACTGGTGGTGTTGAGCAGACAGGAAGGAATCCAAGTGATCCTTAACAATTCTTGCCATTATATTACATGATATTTCTTGTTGGTTGAATGTTCGTTGCCTTGAAAACAGCACGTGAACACAGCTGCTTGGCTGGAAATGGTTCTCAGGACTTGTCTGGGAGAAGGTAACTAAAAGGCCAAATGTGTGGGAAAGCGCAGCTCAGCTAGACTGCATTTATTGTGAAGCAGCAGCATTGTACCAACAGCACATCATCCTGTACAGCAGGTTTAATTACTGATAGGTACTACTTGTGTTACAGGGCAGGCCTCAGTGGCTTTGCAAAACAGGTCTGAAGCAAACAGAGTAAAACATGTTTTATAATCTTAATGAAGTTCTGATAAAAGTTCTCAGTCCTTTTGTAATGCTGCAGTTGTGTATTGCACAGCAATGGCTGATGATTGTGGTGGATAAAGTGAGCCAATCTTCTAGCCATTAGAATGCTGCTACGTCGTACCTCTTATTGCTGTTCTATTTAGTGCCAAATTGGGATAGCATCATTTAGAACACTTGATTGGTACACATACATCCATCTGGAAAGTCTGTTTTACATTTTTGCCTTTTTCACGTGATAAAATGGAAGTATTTCTTTTAATTTTGTTGTTCTAATTCAGAATCAGAGTTTGAGTCCTAAACTTCCTTCTGAAAATGCAATCATGTGGGGGTGGGAGAAGGATCAACTGAATAAGTTGCTGGTATTTTCTGCCTAAAACTTTGGTTCGTTATTACTGTTACACACTATTAGTAATTAACTCAGGGCTTTGAATGTGAAGCTCAGTAGTGTTATTGCTAAAACCTGATGTGGGAAACGTATCTGAATGACAGCATCTATAAAAAAGAGTGTGTGTGTTTTCTCTTGTTTTTGTCTGCTTTGTTTTTTCTAGCATGGAATAACACAAGCCAATGAACTTGTTAATCTGACAGAATTCTTTGTGAATCACATTCAGCCTGACTTAAAGTCAGCCAGTGGTAAGTTTACTGTTAATTTCATATGTTATTTTGGGGATGTTTAGAGAAGCTTGGCAGTGACTCCTGTTTCTTGAGGCTCAAGCACAAATTAGAACATGGTCCTGTATCAGCACCGTCTTTGAGACACGGGGCTTGTTTTCACCTGGCACATGGGAGGTGATTCACGTTGGTTTGGTCAACAGTGAGTGAACTTTTAAACAAAGGTGGATTACCACGTGCTGTTGGCAGGGTCAGGGCATGTATGTGCATGGCTGCTATCAGCTGGTGTGCTGTAACTTGATGAATCAAAGTAACTTCATTTCTGTATTTGAGACTGTATGCAAACTTCTTTGCTGTACAAAACTCTTGAGAAGTTCAAATACTGAAGTCTAGATTGTGGCTTGCATCAGCGTGTGTCAGTGTGACTACAGATCTCCAGGGTTAAGCAACATGATTTTATACTTGAGCGATTATCTTACAGTGTTTGGAGGGTTTTGGGATATGCAGTTGGAGTCTGTTATCATCAGAACAAAAAAGGGAAATGTTATGTGAAAGGGTTGGACTCTGTGTTTAATGTAACAGGGTTGTGCCCACACAGAGATGGATAAGCAAACAAACATACAACTTTGTCTTACTCCAGGGGTGGGGAATTCATGACTTAATATCACCTTTATATGTAGAATGTGCTCAGAAATTGTACATATATGAAAAATTGCATATTTTCTCTATTGCAGTGAATGAATTCCCAGTGCTAAAAGCTGATGGTATCAAATATATCATGATTTTTAGAAATCAAGTAAGTTTTTCTTCTGTGGTGAAAAATAGGAAAATAAAAATACATAGACTAGTTACTTTATTTATACTTGCCAAGCCTCATGTATCTTACCTGGCTGTATGGTAACTCAACAGGTGTTTGGAATTTTTAGTTTTGAAAGTAGTTTTGCAGCTATAAATATCAGAGGGGCATGTAGTGTGTATGCTGTCCATATGCTAGCAGGGCACCAGATACTCAGAACTGTGACCTACTCAGATGTTCTAGCATCTCGAGTATTAGTCTCCATGCACTGGATTGTAGTAGTTGCTAGACTTTGTCTTTTACTTTTTTGGATTTGTGGGTGACTGTAAGAAAACACATTCAGTATTATTTATAAATGCTGTATTTATGCATCTATCATTTTGCTTTTTAATCTTGATGGTTTTTTTTAAACTATCCATTAAGACAAAGTAAAGTGCAATATAAGCTTTTACAAATCTAACACTGATGTTCTGGGGGAAAATATACAGATCTGGTGTGATTTAGCAACCAGAGCCTTCTAAGATTTCTTCCTCTGCCAGGTTTTCAGTTTGTAGTTGGTGAGTTCAGTGATTATACTCTGGTGTTGAACGATCTGCATTTCTATGTGAAGTATGTAATTTATTGCTGTAATTTTTTAGGTACCTAAAGAGCAACTGTTGTTATCTATTCCTCTTTTAATCAATCATCTTCAAGCAGAAAGCATTGTGGTCCATACTTACGCAGCACACGCTCTTGAAAGGCTGTTTACCATGAGAGGAACAAACAATACCACACTGTAAGTTTTCAAACAGAAGTAAATTCATTCCTATGTAGTTTTTAAGCATTGCAGATGAAATGCTGGTAGAGGATCTTTCATTTTGTGGTATTATGATCTTGTGAAAAGCTTGAATTTTGTGAATATGCTTCATAATTAAAGCCCTGTGTTCTTCTTACAGCATTACAGCTGCAGAAATGGCACCGTTTGTAGAAGTGCTGTTAACAAACCTTTTCAAAGCATTAACGCTTCCTGGCTCATCAGAAAATGAATACATAATGAAAGGTAAATGCTGGATGAGTCTCACGCTGTAAGAGTTACTTTGATACTTGAGGTAAAGGCTTATAGCCATGGGCTACTGAAACTTCAGCAGCGTCATTTACTCAAACTTGCTGAAGCAGTATGAACAGCCTGCAGTTGTGTACCAGGCAGTGTTAAGTTATCTTTGAATAAATGCATGAAGCAAAGGAGAAACACAAAACAAAGTGGCATTGTGTCAAATGGCAGTAGTGTGCTCAGCATGGCCACCTGAGTGGTGTCAGCATGAGGTTTGGGTGCTGTGTGGCTAACAGCCACAGTGTGAGAATTTGCAGACTTATCTTTTTACCTTGGACAAGTTGCTCAGTCTTCTGTGCCCAGTCTGTAGAATGGGAATAGTGAGACTTTGTTGAGATTATGGATTGATTGCCCTTGTATACGTTTAGCTCCAAAAGATTCTAACTTTCTTTTTATTTCCAGCAATCATGAGGAGTTTTTCTCTGCTACAGGAATCCATAATTCCATACATCCCTTCTGTCATCACACAGCTTACACAGAAACTACTGGCTGTCAGTAAGGTAAAGAATGGGCCATGTGAGCAAAATGTTCACGTTTTTTCCTTCTTAGAACAATCTTTATAAAGATTCATATAAACTTTGTTTCTGTGCTGTTAAAATACTGCATGTGGTTCAATACTTTGACCAAAATATGTAAAAGTAGCCTTCCAGTGAAATTCATGTTCTTGAACATAGACCTAAGGAATACTTTAGAATACCTTCATCAGCTATCCCAAAAACTTCTTCTACATACAGTGTAAACTTGGCTGCTAAGTATAAAAATTTTGCTTCGAAGAACTGATGAACAACTGACTATTACACAAATGAGATATTTCTTATTTCCAGTTTTTGTTACATCACAGAACTGTTGGTTCATGTAGAGCTTCAGAAAGAACTTGTTTGCTTTGAGATATTTAGGAAAACTCGTGCAGGCTTTTAAATTTTGATGTTTGCTTTTATCTGCGGAATCAACTTCATCAGCATATTAATAAGGCATAGAGTCCTTTTTTTCAGTTGCTCCTTTAGGCTTCTGTTGAAACAATAAATACATTTTGCAAAATGAGTTCAGGTTGTTTGTTCATAACTTGTTTTACAGAATCCAAGCAAACCTCACTTCAACCATTACATGTTCGAGTCAATATGCTTGTCGATAAGGATAACGTGCAAAGCAAACCCTGATGCTGTTGGAAGCTTTGAGGAGGCTTTGTTCATGGTGTTCACTGAGATACTACAGAATGATGTGCAAGGTAAGTAAAAATCAGTAATTCTTGTGCTCACTCTGCTGTGATTGGTTGCCATTGTTTACATCCTGGCAGTTTTCTTCTGTAGCACTGGAAACTCAGGTGAGAAGGCAAGGTTTGCACAGTCCTCACCAGCGCTTCTAGGAAGTATCTGTGTTGTTGCATAGGGCACATAAACTGTATCATCATTGATCATTTTTTTTAAAAAAAAAAAAAAAATGTATTTTAAAAGTATCTTAATTGCTACCCCCAAATGTTATTTTTGCCTTGCTTCTAATGGTTTATATTCCGTGTTCTGAAAAAAACAGTAGAGAAGATAAAATGCATAGGTACATACATATAGTGGTTGCAAATGTTTGCAGTCATGAAATTTATTTATTCCAAGTTTTATTTATCAGAATCTTTGCATTAATATCCTGCAGTTGTAGGCTCAGCCATTAGATACATGGTTCTTATGAATGAGCAAGTGACCGTTATTGCTGAATTTCTAAGTGTCATGACTTCTTTTGCAGAGTTCATTCCATATGTGTTTCAAGTGATGTCCCTGCTTCTGGAAATGCACAAAAATGAAATCCCATCATCCTATATGGCATTGTTCCCTCATCTACTTCAGCCAGTGTTATGGGAAAGGACAGGAAATATTCCTCCTCTGGTCCGACTCCTGCAGGCTTATTTAGAGCGAGGTGCCAACACAATAGCAAGTGCTGCTGCTGACAAAATTGTGAGTTGGGTTGATGGAGCAGCTCTGTATACCTCCAGACACGCTGATTTAAGATGGGACGTTAGAAAGAGTTTTTTCCTCAAGTGGAAAGCTGAATTTGTGCAGCTTATGCTTGTATTTATATTAAAAACAAAACAACAACAACAACAAACCTTTTGGGATGGATTTGGGAGCAGGGTCCACAGTAATATGCTTTTATAATTTAGGATGAACTGCACTTAGTTTGTTCAGGCAGGTAAACTTCTCTGTTTTTCTTGTCTTGCCTTGCATCATATGGAACACAGTGGATCAGGAAAGCTCAGGGATTCTGTTTGGAAGAGTCACCAGAAGCGTGACTGAGGAGAAGTCAAAATGTTGGGAGATCTGAGGATCAGTGAATTCTGCTGCATGATCTGCTGTAGTCAAACCTGATTACACAATACCAGTGATGAAGCAAACGTGCATTTTCAAATTAGCTTTTTTGTTCATTTGATTAAGACTATTTTTTAATACTTAATGGAATATCATTTGGTCCCAAGAGAAATCGGTCTTCCTGCAGAAAGAGAATACTGGTTTAGGTTGTGAAGGCTTTTGCCACGGTGTATGTTTTAGGTAAGATCCCACCTTCTGGTAGGTCATATATGAAGAACTGTTGTGTAGAGTTTTATGTTTGCTTTACTTGCAGCCTGGGCTATTAGGTGTGTTCCAGAAGTTGATTGCCTCTAAAGCTAACGACCATCAAGGATTCTATCTTCTAAACAGTATTATAGAGCACATGCCCCCGTGAGTATGAGTTGACATTATTGTATTCAAAACTAATCTCTATAGACTTTAATACTTGGTACACTTCAAAGTTAATTATTAACAATGAAAAATGTTGCATTTGTCAGTAAAATAAATTTGAGTAATTTTGTGTGTGTTTTTGTAGTCTGACTTCTGGTAAATGCTAGTGTGGCTTGAATAACCAATGTTTTAAATTTCTAGTGAATCAGTTGACCAATACAGGAAACAGATCTTCATTCTACTGTTCCAAAGACTTCAAAATTCCAAAACAACAAAATTTATTAAAAGTAAGTTTATTGCTTTTATGAAGAGCTTCAGTGATACCAACAGTTTAGAACGTGTAGCAGTACCAAATAAATATCCAGTCATGTCCTTTGATTATGCAGACAGAGAACAGTGAGCTCATAACATCAGTGGCTTGCTTTGAGTTGTCTGTGCAATCGGGGTGGCATATGGGGCAGTTCCCCCTCAGGGCACATCCATTTTATTAAAACTAAAAGACTGAAATTAAAAATGAGGGGAAAGACTTCCATATTCCCATCCACTTCTGTGTGGTGTGTATAGTTGTGTTGTTACTGTTAAATATTCCATGCAGTTGTGTCATCGATGTGATGTAAGTTTGAGAACAGCTTTTCTAACACTTCATAGTTGCTGTAAGGGGCAAAGGGGCTGAACCTTGTCCTAGCTGTCTTACCACTAAGTTTTAGTGTATTAGGGAACAAGAAAAAAGGTCAGCAGCTTTCGACAAGCTTCACAGTAGCTAGTTAATGTGCTTCACTAAAAGTGAACATTTACAAAGATCACCATTTCTGTCTCCTTGAAAAACTTGTTACGTGTTTTTCTGCTAACTCTAACCTTTTTCTCATTTCAGGTTTCCTAGTCTTCATTAACTTGTACTGTGTAAAATATGGAGCATTAGCTCTTCAAGAAATATTTGACAGCATACAGCCAAAGTTAGTATGATTTTTATTTCAAACTGCTGTGTAGCTTTTATCTTTCAAAGCAGAAATGGCTGTCTCCATTAGCTAAAGATGCAAACCATATTTGTCACTAAACTGACTAGCCAGACTTTTCTTCTGCTGTAGTTCACGTCTTTCTTGAGCCATTTTTCTTTTTCTGATCTGCTGCTCACAGTTCCTCCCTCATAGTTCCAGATCAATAATCTCCTGAGCAGGTCATAAAAAGGGAAGAGTGATGTTTTTATTCTTCTCTCTTTGAGAAAAATTTGTGCTATCAAATTTCTACCAGGCATCCACTATGACAGGGCAATATCATAACAGATTCTGTTTTTCTTTTTCCTGATGACTCTTATTGTGTCTTTTTATTGTCGCTGTGAAGCTGACAAGGCTTTCTAACACTTCTTTTTATGTCATAATAGGATGTTTGGAATGGTTCTGGAGAAAATTATAATTCCTGAAATACAGAAAGTGTCCGGACAAGTTGAAAAGAAAATCTGTGCAGTTGGCATTACAAAAATATTAACAGAATGTCCTCCTATGATGGACACTGAGTACACCAAGCTGTGGTATGTAGAACACTTCTTCAAGTGAAGCTACTTGGTTTTGAAAATGTGAGCTACTCAGTTCTGTTGTGATTTCTTCAGGCCTGCTGCCATCTCAGGCTTTTCTCATCACTTCTTCTCAACAAATCATGATCAAAGCAGATGCCAGAACTGGTTTGAGATTTTTGTGATAGCACTGACTGGGCTAGCTAGAATTGCTTTTAAGAGAATAGACTACTTGTTTTTAGCTTGTATTGCTTCTGAAAAGCTAGGAACAGTTTTAGTTTGTAGCTGTTCTGTTAGTCAGGAGAGCCAAGCATATAACTTGAGATAGGTGCTGTAAGATCTTTGTGCAACACGGATTTCTGTGGAAAACTGTCTGGAAAGACTGTCCAGCAGTCTAGGTTGTCAGGTAGGCTGAATTCTGAATTTAGAAGGGGGGGAAAAATGTTGTTAGAGAAAAGGTGTGATCTGCAAAACAGTTGCTTTTTCTTGGGTATGCTATGTGAGAATTTGACCTGATAAAAAATAAAGGCATCGTTTGTGCTTTTAATATGAGCATCTACATTATGCTTCTAAACTACACACATCCATGGCTCTTCAAGTTCAGCACATATTAGGCTTGTGCTCTCAATAGCTGATTGCAATTGTAGCTTCTTCTCTTCTTCAAAGAGAAGATTGTTGAAATAGTTTTACATAACTTGAACTTTCCTTTAAAATCTGTCCTTCCTGGCATGTTTTCAGCATTCTGATTTTCTCCTTGCATCTTTCCATGTAGGACTCCTTTGCTGCAGGCACTCATTGGCCTCTTTGAGCTGCCTGAGGATGACACTATTCCTGATGAAGAACACTTCATTGACATAGAAGATACTCCAGGATATCAGACTGCATTCTCTCAGCTAGCCTTTGCTGGAAAGAAGGAACATGATCCTGTAGGTCAGATGGTGAACAATCCTAGAATTCATCTGGCACAGTCTCTTCACAAACTGTCTACTGCGTGTCCAGGCAGGGTAAGTGGCTTTCATACATGGCATGCTGATTCCAAATTGCACAGAGAAGAAGTGCTTATTTGACAGTGACTCTTTTCTGCCAGTGTATGATAACGAGCAGACTGGAGTATGTCCTAATCAGAATGCTAAGTATTGTTTTATCTTATTCTGTCATTGAATATAGCTTTAGTGTGGTTTTTCCTAGCAGCCTAAGAAAGGCTAATATTTTCACACTACTGACTTCAATGATAATCTTAGTATGTCATTTCTCAAACAAAAATTTCTCCACACGGAGGTATATAGCTTAACACTTGCCAGCAATTCAATTGTTTGTATTCAGGAAACTTCAGGCAACTTATGTGAAGTTAAAGTTGATTATTTTCAATCAACTATTTCAAAGTGTATTTGTTTTCAATATTTTTGATAAGTAACTGCCTGGGAGATTTGGAGTTTGCTGCATCCAAATCTCTGCTTTCATGACAGATGGTTTGCTAACCTTCTTTCATATTTAATTCAGGCAAGCAGTATATAAAACTAAATGCTGTCAGCATCAAGAATTTTAATTCCAGCAACTGTCTTCAGAAAAAAACTTGCTGACAAGATGTCGCTTGACTTCGCACTGCATGTTGGCACAGCAATTAACAGGGTGTAGCAGCACTGTAAGTTATACACAGATTGATGCTTCTGCTCTGTCATATTTTAAGGTTCCATCCATGCTGAGCACTAGTCTGAATGCAGAAGCGTTGCAGTATCTCCAGGGATACCTCCAAGCTGCAAGCGTGACGCTGCTCTGAGCTGCGTGTCTTTCACAAGCAAGATCAAAAGCTGTTTTGTTACACAGAAAGTTGACACTGACTTTTTTTTATAGCAGCGCTCAGACAAAATGAAAAATGCTACTTGAAAATGTATAGCAGAATCCATCTTGTAAAAGATAAATGTGGCTTTAAGCAGGAAGAATTTGGTGGTGTGCGTAATCATAGGTAAAAGGTGGTTAACTTCCATTTGCAGTTTAATTTCCAAGGGAGGAGGCACAGCGGTTTGTTTATTTGAAATCTGCAGCATTTGGATAAGTGTGACATGAATGGAGAGCACTGGCTGTAGAAACTCACTTCGGTCACTAAAATTCCTTTTTATTTTGATGTTGTCCTTTGTAATTCTTTTGTCTTTCCTTGAACTTTATCTAAATTGTGAATAAATAAGAAGTACTTGTTTAAAATGCCTGTCACTGTGCACTTACTGTTTTAGAAGAGTGTAGCTGGCTTAAAAAAAAAAAAAAAAAAGTGTTTTAAACATAGAATAGATTATAAAATAGTGAGAATGTGAGGATTTTTCTTTACCCTACGTAATAGCTTAAATATATTGTATGTTCACACAGAGCAAATGTGAAACTTTGGCAGAAGATCCAAAGCTGCTATTACTCTTGATATTCATCAACAGGTGCACCCTTTCTCCTCAGATGTGGCACTGTAATGAAGTAGAAGCAAGTAATGTACCCTGCCACAGTGGATATTGGTCTCCCAAGTGGATTTTTAGTGATGTATCAAAACAGAAGCATTGATCTTGTTTAGCTAGGGTGTTCTCCCTGTCTCCTTCTGAATATACTGATCAGATGTGGTAGCCCTGAGTTCTAAGTGCATTCATATAACCTTGTTGTTCTGGTTGATGAAAGGAGACAAGTTCAATGCCTGATCCTTACTGTGTTCTCAGATGGTCTGGGCACCAAACTGCTATGCTGTAGGCTGTTAGAACACTAATACTGCAGGGATGTACGTACATTTAATTACAGAGACCGCAAGACTCCTGAATAAGCGTGAAGTCAAACATATATATATATATATATATATATATATATTTTTTTTTAAGTTACCTGACCATGTAGATCTGCAGTTGGCTTGAATCAGTATTGGGGTTTTAAAGTTACGATGCCAGATAAAGCTGGGCATTGTATCAGGGAAATTACTGAATTTACAGAAGGTAAAACATAAGTCACAATCATCTTTTTTTTTTCAGTTCTTCTTTAATATCTGTGGCTGCCATGTGGGAATGCATGTTGGCCATCTCTCTTAAAGTGTAAAGTAAAGAGTTACTTGTCAGACAATTAATTTAAACTGCTTAAGTGCCTAAAAATGCATTAAATGAATCGACATCAACAGGTTTTCTTGAATCTAGTCTGTAATTCAGTGTCAGACTGTCTTTGTTTATAGGTATGAAGTGAAAGCAAATCTCTAGAATGAAATAATGAGACCATGAGAAGCATTTGCCTTAATGCTGGTGAGGCTGTGATGAGCACTGCAAGTTTGCAGAAGTTCTATGCAGAATAAAAATGTCAATGGGTTGAAACCATCTGGGAGAGGTGTGTGATGTTTGCAAGGAACTGAATGCCTACCTCGACTGTCAGTGTTAATTGAGCTGGGGATGTTCGTAACCTACAAGCTGAGAAGGATTCCCAGGTCGCTGTCTGCTCCACAGTTTGGCCTTTCCTTTGGATGACAGGGAGAACGATTCTTCATGTCAACCTCAAAGAATCAAAGCTCAGTCGGTACTGGTTGTCAGGTAACTGTAATTTGACATGCCACCTTGGCACCGAGTCTAGACAGCCTCTGTGTGTATGCTAGAATGGGATTCTTGAGTGCAGTGCAGTATTAAGGGGCTGATTGTGTTAGATCTCCTCGTTCTGCAGTTAAAGTGTGATTTCTTTGAGGGACACGCTGCTGAGTATTTAGAGTGAATGCATTTTTCTTACTTTACTGGTAAGGAAGGGAACTGGTCAAGATGTACTGCAGCAAGCCAGAACCCTTCTGAGAGGCAGCCAGGGAAAAACTCTATCTTCACATTCACAGTATTGCACTTCCAGCAAGGTGTGGCTTTTTCATGTTGGACAGACATCTTGTGTGATTAAGTGACTTCAGATCAACAAACACTAGTGGCATAACTGTCCTTCAGAAGATTCAGAGTTGACTATCGTAGACTTTGTGGCCATGGCACTGTTAATGTTCTGTTATTTAGTCCTGATGTATTCTGCAGATTGCAGAAGGCGTATGAGTGTTTATTTACAACGCTTAGCCTTTCAGGGAAATGACATTTTCTAGTGTAGTGCAGGCACAAAGATCATCTCTTCTTCAGCATACAAGGAAATGTTGATAGCAGCACCCTCACCTTTATTCAGGTGGAAGCCTTATTGCTACTTCTGACATCTCCTATCCTTAAGATTTAGGAGGCAACACAATGTTCCACACAGATTTATCTGTTGACTTTAATGGAAACTGACAAGCAAGGCAATAACAGTTTTCAGAAGACTGATGAACTTCTCTCAGCCGCCCTTCAGTGTATTCTTTATTACACTGCTGGACAAATACCAGTTCCTTCAGAAAGCTCAGACTGGGAACACCTGCTGTCAGTGGATCTTCTGAGGACCTGTAAGCATCTGCTTTGATTTCAGACAAAACTGCACATCCTGGAACTGTGTCACCAGTTCACCCTTGTAACTGATAGTGGTAGTATATGTATTCAAGGGAAAGATGATTACTTCTTTTTGAATACAAAATTGATAAAAGGACATCTGTTTTGCATCCCTTGACACCATGGAACTAATCTACTGTCCTAGATTATTTGGATCCTACTGACTTGCAGTTCTCAACTTCTAAATACTGTGTCTTCTGCTACAAAAGAAAAGAACTGACCACCTTATTCTTCAAAACAACAAAAACCCCACAACCCTCAAGACCACCAGATGTTCTTTTTTCATTGGTTCTGAATGGACCAAAATGATTCCAGCATTCCTGCAGTGGCCGCAGCACCTACTGCTACAAAGTTATGTTTCTTTTTTTCTTCATTTAAATGTGTGCTGAAGTAAAAGTCATCCAGTGAGCCAGAGCATTCACTCTAAGAATTACCTGATGAGGCCAGAGCACGTTCTTTCTCACACTCAGCTGACTCTTTCTCAGCTGACTTCTGCTTTCAGAAAAGTCTGTTTTCTTTAGGCTCTCAGCAGTTTATTTCAAGGTACCTTGCACCCAGCTGTACTACTTTGATTGCTGAATGTACTTCTGCACTTGTTCGTGGCCCTTCAATGAGAACAGCCTTCCTCTACTGCTGTCAAGGACAGGTCAGACTTGAGCTGTCAGAGCAGTATTTCACACGAACAAAATAACCAGAGGGCACTTGGTGAGATTTCAGAGCTGCTCACAGCAATCTGTTTACATTCTTTGCCTTCCCCCCAGGTTCACTCGTTCCCATAGAAGACAAGTGATTTTCCCTTTGTCCTGAGACTGCACGCCTCATCCAGTCACAAGTGCAGCTGAAATGCTGGCAAAGGCACCTAAAAGCAGTTTGACAAAACTTTGGAAGAATCAAAGGTGTGTTCCCTGCAGTACAGCAGAAACATACACCTGCAGCTTGGGTAACAAAGTCTGGCTGTAGCAGTGTGGAGGTTTGGGCACCGTGCTGTAAGCAGTGGAGGTGGTTCACCCCATGCCCAGGGCTGTCTTCCCCTTGGGATATGGCTACACACTGCTCCAAAGTAGATTGTTGGTTTTCATGTCCCAAAGCTCCCAACATCATACACTGATTACTGCCTTAAAATAGTTATTAAAAAAATATCATGATGTGTTTTGCTGATCAGCCAAAAAAAAAAAAAAAAAGCTGAGAGGAAAAAAGTGAAACAATAAATGCTTTATTTTCCCTTGCATTCCTACCCCTACTTATTTAAGTGAACAAATTACTGCCTTACTGTAACTTAGAGGAGACATGATGTGGTTATAAGGATAGGCAATAGCAGATACAATTGCTTCAAACCATTTTCAAATCACCCACGAAAGGTAAAGGTCGCAGTCAGGTAATGAAGGAATTGCTTACCCAGCGCTGAGGATCGGGGCTCATCAAACACTCTAAAGGAGGCTATTTCTGAGTAGAGATGTTTCCCTTGCTGCTGCCAGCCCTGAAATGAGGTTAGGGATGCCCAGGTCATGGAGGTGAGTTGCTTCCACCTGGGCTCTCAGGGCTGGCCACTGCCCTTCTCCAGGTGCTCATATGCTGGCTCAGGCCATGACCTAATGCTTCCCATGCTGAGGTGTTCCCAGGAGCTACCAGCCAGTATGTGACAAACTCAGTGATGTTGGTAGATAGTTCAAAGTGCCTAGAGATGGGCCTAAAACTTTTCTCTCCGAGTAATGATCTTTGAATTCACACGAGGTCAAAGCTTAGATTGACTAAATGTTTGTATTCAAGATGCGGTTAGAAGTAAACACATTATTACTGTGAAGTAATTACCAGGAACTGAAGAAAAATATTTGGTTACAAATGAGTCAGAAAAGCAGAATGAAAGGGGTTTAGCACAGCTCATTGGTGTATTTAGCTTTCCTGGGTTTTAATTTCCAAAAGCTGTGAAGAGAAATTCATGCTCCTTTTTTTGTGCCTGATATAAGGGATATTGTGAAATAAGTAACAAAATACATTAATAACAAAAATCAGATTTCATCTGAAAACACTGAAATCATAGCATTGCGTCTTTCATAGAAGAAATGAAAGTTTCGACTATCTCACACTTGTTAGCTGGAAATGGGCCTTTAAGAGTAACATTTTTCAGTAAGTAATAATAAGAATGCAGTATTAGAGGGGTAAATACCCTTCAAATAGAAGGACAAACAGTGGATATTGGAGGTGCTGTGCCAAGCAGTCCTCAGACTACACGTGCATTTGATTAAAACTGTATTCAACTTCATAACGTGGCTGCAGATGCTTTCTGTCTCAACCAAGTGCAGACTTTACACTCACACAGAACCTCCACCATTTGCCAGGAGGAAAAAAGAAAAATAAAACTGAACTTGTAGCAAAACCCAATGCAGCAGAGAAGATACCTTTGTATTTCTCTCTCTTCCCCTAACTTGCTCCAAAAATCTGCACAAAAAGCTGTTTCTGTTATAGATAACATTCAGCCTTTACAGTAACAATTACACAACACCGGAATTTCACTTCCTTCTTGAAGTTTAACTGTTGCTGGAATAGGATCTAACAGCACAGACTGTGATGCAACAGACCACAAGAACATACAAAGAGGTGTTTCAACGTGATATGGGATATACGTCTATATGCTTGTATACCACAGAATGTTTTTTCAGTGCTACATTGTCGATGGATTTGATGTGTCTCACGTATTTCCTTTATGGTATCTTTGGAATCCATACCAGTATTAAATACAGCCGTGGACATGGAGCTTTAGATATGTTTTTTATTTCTCATTTGTTTCTGCTGGAATGGTGTGGCTGTGATTCTCGTCACTGGACATGAAGGCTTTTGCACTTACAGTAGAATTAAGTTCCATGTATTAGGGCAGTGAATGCTGTGGGCTGAATGGCACTCTTATTTTTCTGAAAATGGCATAAATTACCGGCATGCAATTTAATGATGCCACGGGGTTTAACTGCAACCTTGTAAGTTAAAATGTATTTTTCACTATTAAGAAAGATAAAATATTTCTAAAGCAACAAGTTCTCACATCTTTTCCTCACAAATAGGCCTGACGTCACATGAGTGAGACTGCTTAGCACTGCGAGTTTGCTCGTGTGGATTGGTTATGAAAAGCGATTGTATCGCTTAGGAAATCACGCAGGCAAGGAAAGCGTTGCCTTTAGAATATTTACGCCTAAGAACAGCACGCCCCAGAACCTGAGCAGCACTTGGGGTGCTGCAGTGAGGAGGAAGAGCCTCCACCGCCTCGCAGCCCGAGCGCTCAGACAGCGGCAGGCGCTGCTGTTCTCACTGTGCTTTGGAGAGCTCTGCGGTCCGCAGTGACGTTATCGGGACTTCAAAGCGCCATGATACATCTGAAAGCGCAGATCTCAGTGGCAGCAAATTGGAATTTTTGCTTTCTTAGCGCAGAATCGGTACATTCACAGCTCGGTTCCGCCTCGGCTGCCGTGCGGGGCCTCTCTCCGGGCTGCGATGCCGGGAGCGGCGAGTAACCGAGCCCGTTAGCTCGGGGCTGCAGGGCTGAAGGCACGGCTGCCAGCGGCTCAGCGAGGAGGGGGGCAGGCAGAGCGCGCTCGCAGTTCCCTCGGCTGACGTCTCCTATTAACTCCCGGCTTACAGCGGCGCCGCTCGGCCGGCACTCAGCCGCGGCCCTCCTCACCCAACGGAACGGAACGGAGCGCGGCGCGCCTCGCACCGTTCGTGCCCGCAAAGCACCGCTTTAAGCGGCTCTGCGCTGCCGCAGCCTAGAAAGCGCAATGGAGCTCCCGCAGCGCTCTCGATGCCTCTGCCGCCGCCCCCCCGGATGTGGCCGCTCGCAGCCGAGCCGCGGGGCGGACCCCGGGGACGCTTTTTACCGCGATCGGGGCTCCCGGCCCTCGAAACACAAGGACGCGGGCACGGAAAGCACCGAGCCCCTGGAAAAGCGGGAGCGGCGGCGCCCGGCCCGCAGCTTCCCCCGGGTGCCTGCATCCCGGCCGGCCACAGAGAGCGTGGCGCGCGCGGCGCACGCCGGGAGCTGTAGTCTGAGCCGTACTCAGACTGCGCGGAGCCGACCCGCAGCGGCGGTGCGAGGCACGCCGGGACTTGTAGTCGCCGAGAAGGAGGCGGTGCTCCCGCCGACCCTGGCGCCCGTTGGCCGAAAGCGCGGAGCGGGGCGTTTCCCGAGGAGGCTCGAGCGCTTCCGATTGGCTGCCCGCCTCCCCCGCCTCCCGCCGCGGTGGCGTCACTTCCTCCCCGGCCGGAGCTGGCCCCGCTCATTCTCTTTAGTGTTTGCCCTGTGCCCGCCGCCTCCCTCCGCCGCCGCGGTCGCCCCCCGGCCCCCTCGGGACCCGGCCCATGGACTGAGCCGCCCGCTGGCCCGCCCCCGCAGCCGGCCCGGGAGCCGCAGCCCAGGCAGCCAGGTGAGGGGGAGGCGGCCCGGGCTCCCCCCGGTAGCGGGGCGGGGGGTGGCGGTGGGGCCTAGCGAGGCCCCGGGGAGGGGCCCGGCTCCGCTCCCCCCGCCCCGCTCTCGGCCCTGCCCGGCCGCTCGGAGGGGCGGCCCTGCCACGGGGGGAGCGGGCGGGTGGCGGGGGCGCGCCGCGGGGCCGCCCCTCCGAGCCTAGCCGGGTCCCTACCGGGAGCGGCTCCGGCCCCCGGCCGCCCCTAACACCGGGATGGAGCCGGCGGCGCCCACCGGGAGGTGACGGCGGACGGAACGGAGGCTGCCCTCGGCGCGCCCCCGTCCCGCTTCGGCGCGGTGGGAGCGATGGCGGCCGCCCTTGGAGCGGGGCCGTGTGAGCCGGGGGCTCTCGGCGTGCCCGCTGCCCGGAGCTGGACGGCGGCTGCGGCTGTCGGGGTGCAGCCCGGCCCCTCCGCTGGCTGTAAGGACGGCGCGGCGGCCCGCGGTTTTCTCCCCGCGCACGTCGCGGCGCGCAACCCGAGGCTGCGGCGGGCAGCGCTGCTTCCCGGCCCCGTGCCGTCCTCTCGTCGCAGCAGAGCTCTTTCCCCGTTTCTCGCTCGCATCATGGAGTTTCTCAGGGGCTGTGGCAGCAACAAGTTCCTGTCGCATCCTTGCTGCTGTCTGCTCCCAGCTACACGGCTCGGGTCCGTGTGTGTTCTCTGCGGGGTGGTGCTGTGCTGGGAGCGGTGACAGTCGTTCCTATTGATCCGTGGGTTGGGGATTTTCTGTCCTTTTTCTACCAGGTTAAAGGGAAACCTGGGAGGAACGTCATAGGGAATTGATAGGCAGTGAGGTGTATCAATAGCAGTGAAATGAGACACCTGCATAGAAGGCCCTTGCCTGCTTTTAGAATGGCATATTTAAGGAAGTTCTGAAATTCTACCAATGATGTACAACTGCACTGCACGGTTGCTCTGTCCGTGCTGACAGATCATTGTTTTTTATAAATCTTTTCAAAGTGAGTTTTAATAATACAGCCGTGGCTGTGATGAAGCAAAGCATTCCCTGATTTGTCCATTTATCATCTCATGATGAGATATCCTGATATTAAGCAACAAATCTGTGTGTTCAGACTGCTGTGGAGGTGATAGCTGTCATAACTTAGCCAGGCGAGCATCACATCCTGAGGAAAGTTTTGGGAGTAAGTGGGTCCAGTTTTTTCTGCACGTATCATTTTCTGATATTGGCTCAGAATTTCATTTCAGAACTGCTCTGAAGTGTCTATCCTAGAATCATAGAATGGCCTGGGTTGAAAAGGACCACAATGATCACTTAGTTTCAACCCCCTGCTATGTGCAGGGTTGCCAACCAGCAGACCAAGCGAGATAACAATTCTTTGTGATTACTTTAAGTAATTCTTTGCAAATTTTCCTAACATGTATCATCAGTCATGATTTTGCTGTCAGTCAGGCAACATCTGAGGTAGTTGGTGGCAAAATTAAAAGTATTCATAGGTTGAAATTAATTTGGGGTGTGATAACCATAACTGTGCAGAGTCAGAGCAAAATAGAAATCTGTGCTTTGTATTCCATAGCTCACCAAAAAGCAGTGATTTGTTCTGAGGGCATGCAAAGCTTTTAAAAAATTTTAACACTGTGTTGTCCAGAATCCATGCTGGGGTTCCTTATTCTTGAGAGTTCTTGGAGATGTGGCTGGAACCACAGAGCAGATCTGTATATTGGTTACCGTGTGAGCTGAAATTGGTATCTGTGGCTTTATGGCCCGTTGTACTTCTGGGTGCAGCAACCAAGTTCTGTGCAGCACCTCTTGACAGCAGCACACAGCTGGAAGCAGCCATCTGAGTGAGCATTCATCTTCCTTGGTGATCGCCTCATCACTTTCTGGTTTATTCTCTTGCATTGTGTTTGGAGCTGTAAGGTTTATGTGCACATCTGTTAGCTCCCTCTATTCCTTCAGATTTTACTTTCAAATGTTAGCCTTTCATCAACTTTCTCTAATTAATGACCCGTGCCATTGCTTCCGAGGTGTTCTGTCTAATGGTTTTCTCTCCTTGAAGTTTTCTCTTACCTGTTTTTAGAAATAACAGCACCTTTTCCTTTGCTGATAGCTGGTTTTAAGATGCATCTTGTCCTGCCCAGATGCTATAGAAAAAGATTTGTTGAAGAAGAAGGCACTGCTCAGCTGTGCTTTACACGCTGTGTAAATAGCCTCAGGTCTATAAAGTTTGAAGTGTTGTTTATCTTTATTGGTGGAGTGTATTTATTTACAGTTCAGTTGTGAATAGTCAGGTATTGTTGTTAGTGCTGTTGCAGAAGCCAAGTGCTTTAGGATTCTGTGCTATATATACACAGAGCTACTGATGTGCATTTTTCAAATCTGTGTTAGGAAATGAACCGTCTCAGTAAACCTGATGGAATTTGTGGAGACGTGTTTTTGGATGGAATTTGTGGAGACGTGTTTTTGGTGCTCCCAAATGAATATGCAACAAAAGGAGGCTCTGCCACCACATCCGAGTTATTTACAGTTCCTTTAGAAAAGGATGGAGCACGGAGCTTTTCTGAAGGGTGTTTTGCCCGGCTGCGATGGGTGCACAGCACTCTTCCTCAGTCTGCAGCAACAGGTGGGAGCGTGGCTGCACCGGCGGCTGCTCTGCCCTGCCTGCATGCTGTAGGTGACTGTAGGTGTGCACTGGGCTGAGTGAGAGAGCAGTGACAGAGAGGACAGTCAGTGAGTGCTGTGTGTCCCACGGGTTGTTCTGGTTCTGTTTGGTCCCACCTTGGGTACTTGCATCCATTGGTAGAGGTTGGGCTTGGGCTTTTTTTGGTCCCTGTCAAATGCATGCATTTCAGGCAACCCTCCTGCTTTGTGAACAATTTGTCACTAATGGGGAAAATTAGTCACCTTTGCTATGCAACTGAAGGGGCAGCAGCTGTTGAGGTGCCTTGTGTTGTGAAAAATCCTGTTTCAGAAAGAATTTTTTAGTTTAGATTCTTGTTTTCTGTAGTAAAACTCCTAGAATATTGTCTATGACACAATCTTTAGCTGCTCATCTCAACCTGTAATTTGTATCCTGTTGGCTTTGTCTGGTGTCTGTTTCTCATTCTCTTCTGCTCTTGTATCTAAAAAGCCCTTTTCTGCTGCTGGCAGTTCATGAATGGGTGCACAAAAGGGTTTAATGAGACATGCCTGCAAGCTGTGATAGGCAGCTAAATGGCATGTGGTTATGTGGCTCTCTAGATGTGCATGTCCTAGAGAACAGAGCACCTTCCCATATTCTGCTACTGACAATGAATAAAATGTGTTTCTTTGAGAACTTGTTCTCTGTTGTGTTTGGAGCACATCTGTGCTAGATGTCTGTGAGATCCCCTTTTTCCAAACCTGATCTTTGAGCTCCAGGTGCTGCCCTTCAGTGATGGGAAGGACTGGTTCTGGTAGAGCTGGGCTGTGTGGTCCCTGGGACAACAGCAAGGTGTTGCATTTGTGTGCAGCTGCAGCTCTGAGGCCTCATTCCAAGTGTGTGATTATCAATTACTTAAATTTTGCCAACAGGTCGTCTCCATCACCCACAGTGGTGTGGTGCATTGCAGTCCTTACTATTAGAAAGCTCTATCTCCATGCATTTTGAAGCCTGCCACATGTTGCTCTGTCACTTTATGTGTGGAGAAAGATTATTCTTTTCCATTCCAAGAACTGTGCTTTGCTCGTGGACTGCTGTTGTCAGCTCCAGCTTGTCAGCCCCTCCTCTTCAGCGTACATGAGCCCAAATCCATCCGTGTTTCTTAGAGGATATACTTTTCTGAAGCAAAATGTTAACTCTCTCTTTTTCCTTCTAGGGATTCTCCATCATAAGTACCCTATTCACAACTAAATCCAAATCTCCACTGTCTGGATCTCCTAAAGGTACAGGAAACTTACTTAAAACGTTCAAGTTTCTTACCTTTTACTTGCATTATATTGGAGAAAGCACTTGTTGTGGTGAAGTCTGATTAACCCCAGGAGGTGTCTGTTTTGTGGCTCTCTGTGCAACACTTTGGCAATTGTGATAAAGGAAAAAAAAACATGAAAATTTGAGGATTATCATGAGGATAACATTGAGACAGCACTGTCTCAATAAAATTTAAAATACTGATGTCTGATTTAGCACAAATAAATACACAAAGGTGGGAAAGGAGCAAGTTATGTGATTTACTGCTGCCTGTGATGGTATGTGCAACATGTGAGTGTTCATCTGTCTGTCAGTCGTAGTCAGCTTGTAAGTCCTAGCAGTGACACAAGTGTTGTGCAGGGCTTGGGTGATCTGTTGTAATAGTTGTCTTGAAACATTTGAAATAGTTGTTAACTTCTGATTACATGGAAAAATCACCTGAGATAGCAGCATCTTCATTTCTCCATTCAGTGAGCCAGCATATGTAAGTTGTTTTTTTTGAATGCGTTGGGGTTTGTAGAGCCATTGCAGAGTAGGGAGGATGTTATGCTGGGAAAGCATTGTAAACTCTTTTTTTATCCACAAAAAACCTGTAATTGAACATTCAATTAAGTGCAGTAAGTTCTTTTATCCTAGTGAAGTATTTCACACAAACCAACATCAGTTCCATAAGCTACGTGAGTAACTGAGAAATTAGACACAAAGTCCTAATTTACTTTATCAGAGTGTGCTTTGACATTGCTTGTAGGAAGGAGGTAAATGTTTTTTAAAAGCAAACAATATAGGATCATAGAGTGGCCTGGGTTGAAAAGGACCACACTGATCATCCAGTTTCAACCCCCCTGCACATAGTGCAAGGTCGCCAGCCACCAGACCAGGCTGCCCAGAGCCACATCCAGCCTGGCCTTATATATTGGTATGTGCCAATTTGTAGCATGTGATCCTGTAAATTACTGCACAGGGTCTGAAATTGTGAGAAATCCGTAAATTGAAGCTTTACAAATCACCAGATGTGTTAACAGCCAAGCAGCAAAGGTGAATTTATGAAACGCTGCCTAAATTCAATCTAATCAACTCTGAAATAGTTGTGAATGGCTGATAACTTGCTGGAAGTTGATTAAATTTTTTGGTTAGAATATAAAAGCTTGAGATCAGTGAGTGAAGGGGAAATCAGAGAATGACAGTGTGACAGTGATGTACCAGTTGATCTAGGAAGAAGCATTAAGTGTACTTAATGCTGACAGGTTAAAATGATGCATCAGTTGGAAGAGTTTCATTGTCGTAGCATTTTAGCTGTCTCCCTGGTAATAAATTTCTGTTCAGCTGTGGAAAACGCCCGGCATGCCCAGCTCTCCAGCTACTTGAATGTCGTGGGGATAAACCCTGAGCTGTGGGGTGTTCTGCAGGTTTAAGATGTCTGCTCCAAGTAAAGATTCAGTTATTGATTCCTTAAAATTTCGGTTCTGTTAGATATTGCTGCTGCTACTTCCTCCACCTTTAGAAGGAGTCATGGAAAGGAACACTCACGTGATCTTGTTGAGCACCTTTTTTTCTTTCTTGTTATATTAATAGTTCCAGAGGCCAAATATTTGTACAGTAGTTTTGGTCATCAAACCTGGTTACACGTGTAATTGCAGAGTGTTTTGCAAAGAGTGGGTGGGTCTATTGGAGTGTTAGAGATGCTTAAAGCAAGCTGTGCTGAAACTTGCGATAGCTGACTCCTCTGGAAGTCTTTGGATTCCCAGAAGGAGGGCTGAACTCTTCCCGTTTTTGACTTGTCAGGCTGGAGGAGGTTGTGTGGTGAGTTGTGGGAGGTGTGCTTCAAAGCCGTGTTTAAACATGGCTGGGCAGCTGGACTGTCAGAGAAGCTGGGCAATGGTTCCCACGCTGAGGACAAGCATGCTGTGAGCGATGGATGTGTCTGCAGTGACTTTTTTTGTCTGGTTGTGGAATGCGAACAGCTGAAGCCTATTCTCAGTTGGGTTGGTTTCCAAAACTTTGTTGTTTTAAGCACTAGGATGTGAGCTTAAGTCTCCAAAGACTTTGTGAATAATGCCTGAATTGTTTATCCTGAATGTTATTCTAATTAGAGGTGTTCAGAAAGAAGCTTTTTTGGACTGCATGCAGATGACTTTCTCTCTTGATAGAGTGAGATCTGGATAGAAAATAGTCCAGACTGTCCTGGTGTGAGGTTCTTGAGTATTCTGCAGTAAATACAGCAAGTGAACTAATAATATCCTTGTTGGGGACTTACTGTCTTGGAATAAAAAATATGAGGGACCAGCATTAAGGTTTGCTTAATATGAGAGTGAAACAGCATGAAGAATAAGTTGTAGAAGTTAGTAACGTTTTTACAGCTGAGCTACTGAATGTAGTGCTCTCTCTTTACATAGAATGATGTTGGATTTTGCTCTAAAGCACATACTGACATCCTTGAAACAGTTGCTGTGAGTAGATGTCTGTGGTTGTGGAATATCTGTGCTGTTCTGTGGATATGCTGATAGAATTCAGTTTGTGTCCTGCAGTAGTAGCAGGTTGTTTTGCATCCAGGAGCCTGAGACATCCAGTAGAACAGTGATTTAGAGTATCCTCTGCTAAGCTGTTTCTGGAATGAGGAGTTGTGCTTTTATACCATTTTTAATGGCCATCCACAGTTTATACAATTGCTTTATGAGCTTACGAGGTGAGTTTTGAGAAAAAAGAAATGTAAGAGGTGGACTTCAGTACACCACAAAAATGATGGAAAAATCGAATACAATATACAACAGAACTCATCAGTGAAAGCTGAAATGTCTTTATGTGCAAATTTTACATAAGAAAATGCAGAATTGCTATAGAATTAAAATATCCACTGTTAGATTCTACTTCTTACAAAAGACTTTTGCAGATTTCTAGCCAGATATGTATTTGATGAGATGCTTATTTAGCAGAGCTTTGCTATTGAAAGTATATGATTCTTCTCTGCATTGTGTGATAGTTGACTAGAAAACTATTTTAGTATACGTATTTTTGGTGTTGAAATTCCACATTCCCAATAAACGTATGATTGCAAGTAAGTGAAGAATAATGTCCTGCTTTAGAAATGAAGCACTTCTAGGCAGAGCTCTGAGAAAAATGTTTCAGGCTTCCTTTCCAGCATGATCTGAAAAGATCCTGGTGTTACTGATTTCTAAACCAAAAATTTTGGTGTTCTCAAAATGCGGGGATCACAAATTTCTGAGCTTTGGTTAATGGGAGGGATGCTGCACTTCAGCAGTAAATGATCATTCACTTTTTATAGGACTACAAGATCACTTATTCGTTTGTGGCAGTTGTTGTATTGTATTTGAATATGTTCAGGGTTTCTGGTAATGCTTCTGGGAATGAAGCTATTATAAAATGATTACCCCAGAGTCTTAGTCTACGTACTTTTGATCTTTGTCTTTCAATTTCTCTGAGCTCCTTCAGATAGGACTCCCCAGTGCCCTTCCACAGTTAGATGCACCTTGTGCACTCTTTGATAGTCAAATACAGCACTTACTTGAGTATAGGGAGCACGTATAGATGTTGTGAACTAACAAGGTCTTTGAATTAATTTCCCAGTCTAGTGAAAAACAAAGCTATCCAGCCAGCAGTGCGGTAAGCCTGATGTGTGTATGGTAGCTCTTCAAAGCTAAAATGTTCCAGATGGCAGATTGGTTTGTATGTGTTGTTTTCTGTAGCTTTTTTTCTTACCAGATAAAATCTTTGTATGAGTGTATTACCCTGAGTTCTCCCCTCAAAATTGTCTTTCAGTACCAAACTAAAAGCTTCACTCTGACTCACTGCTGCTCCTCTTACACTGGGAGCCCATTCACAGGTTCAGAATTGGAGGCTTACTGAGCACTGGTGGAGTTGTGTTGCTACTAATAGCTCCCCGGTGGTATCTGGAGCAGTGATTTCACTTGTACCCTTCATCTGTAATTATGTCAGGGGGAAAAAAAAAACACCAAAAACCTTTGTTCAATGCCCTAATAAAGTCTGTGGCAGATGAGTGTGTGCATCCATGTGTGTGCATTTGTGTGTAAAGTGTATTTACTTGGCTGTGAAATTCATTTTGAACAAATTGATATGTGGATAGTAAGTGGATATGGACAGCTGAGCTCTGGCAGCAATGATAGCCTCAAACTGGCAACCTCCTAGTGTATATTTAGGTTTAACTGTCTGAGCATGAAGATAATGTTGCATCCATGTGTAACAGAAGTCTAACAGTAATTCGTCAGTGGAGGAAGGACCTATCACAGTATTTCACTGTGCCTGCTGCAAGTGCATTGCTTGGAGGTGTCTTTTTCTTACATGAACATTGCCTATGAACACACTCAACCCTTATTTACAGGATTGTAAGGCTGAGTAACTCTAAACTGATAGCTTGGAACTGTGACTGACACTTCATGACACGAGTAGAAGTATCCTTCAAAATGTATGCCACTTACAATGTTTATAAGATCATCTTTTTTGCACTAGAGCTACTTCAGCATTTTTCTGCTAGACATCAGTTGTGTTCCCTTGTGAATGATCAGGTGTTCTCCTCAATGATCCTGGAAAAAAAGCAAAAATACATGTTTATTAAAAAAAAAAAAAAGGACGTGTTCTGAAGAATTTCTCCATAAAGAATACATTTGTTGCCTGCCCTTCCAAGCTAGAAAAATAAATAAAATAAATAAAAATAAATTGAAATAGTAAGAAGTGTAATCTGCTCATGCGAGTTGCTCTGTGCTTACTGTATAAGCAGTGGTTATCAGTTTAAGTAACAGGATTTGTTTTGTAAGGTGACTCAGTGTTGTAGCAGTCAGGAAGTTAAATAAGCAAACATAAATAAGACTCTTATACTCCTTTTAGAGTTTAGAGATTGACATGTGCTATTAAAACTGATGTCTGAGAGACTTACTGCATACCAAATGGAAACAAATGCTAAACATTCAGTATTAACTTTTCTCCTTCCATCTTTATGTTTTAGGTCAGCAATTCGGTTCCATTGCTGAGTTTGCCTGCATTCAAAGCTCTTTGCCTACAGTAACTTGCTCTGGTTGGAAGTGAACATGTCTCAAGTTCAAATTCAGAATCCTTCTACTGCCCTTGCAGGGAGCCAAATATTGAATAAGAACCCATCTCTTTCACAGCCACTGAGTATTCCTTCTACTACTAGTTCTTTGCCCTCTGAAAATGCAGGTAGACCTATCCAAAATTCTGCTTTACCCTCTGCATCTGTTACATCTACCAATGCAGCTGCAGGTGAGATTGAGTATCTATTAGCAGATGTATGTATTTTTGATGTCTTGGACCTATGAATGTTGTAGAAGTAATACTTACCCAATCACAGCAGCTTGTAATGCTTTCTCCACACTGAACAGAGTCTGCCTGAGACAGACAGAGGCACTCTTTTGCACAGAGGCCTGTTTGTAGTACTGAAAAGTACTTAACATTTTCGTACACTGCTTGGAGGTCTCAAGGTTCTTCAGGGAACATGCTGTTGCTGTTTTGGCTAATGACCAGAACTATCTAATCCAGTGAACGTATTTTTGGGGGGTATTGATGCTAAGAAAATGTAGGATTTTTATTTAAAATGTTTGTAGATTTTTTTGCTACCTGCTCATTTATCTGTTTTTATGTAATCTCTCAGCTCCTTCTAACATGGCAAACCCCAAAGAGAAAACCCCAATGTGTCTTGTGAATGAGTTAGCCCGTTTCAACAAGATTCAGCCTGAATATAAGCTTCTGAGTGAGCAAGGTCCAGCTCATTCAAAGGTACCTATTCATATAAGTTTCTTGTTTCTCTTCTTCATGCTCTTGTACTTTTTTAGTGGAAAGGCAAAGCACATGCCTTTAGTTGTAAATCAAATGAACCTGACTGTCCTAATTGTCAGGTATTTGGAAAACAAGGATCTTAGTGTGTGTTTTTTGATGCCTGAAGTACAATACAGTTAAACAGTGCTGAACATTCATCTGGTCCAAAACAGTTAGATTAGCAAAAGAATCTTTGGTCTATAATGGTGAGGATATGGAAATGCTTAGGACAAGCCAGCACGTGGTGTTCATCCGATGTCACTGCAATCTTGTACGCTATGTTAAAAGCCCAGTAATATGCAGTTTGTTTGGTGTTCTGTTTACCCATAGAGAGAGAATTTCTAAGGAATGCAGTAAGTATAGAAGCAATTGGTGTTACTTCAAAGAACAATGAGGATGTGAGTTTTAACGTTATTAAGCTTTTTAATTCTCATTGGAGGTCTCTATTGAAAGGTCTACTGAGGTCAAGGCATACAAGGAAAATCAGCCTGGGCTACACTTATTTAATCTGACACCATCTCCTTAAGGTGTTGTCTGGAACAGTGTTAGTGTTGTACGCAGGAGGAATTGCCTTTGATGTGGGTAATGCTGAGAATTAAAGTCTTTCAACCCAAACATGCATAATGTCAGCTTCAATGTGCAAAGCAGGCAGGGCTTGCCTTTGCAAAAAGTAATGGAATAACATTCAGAGCATCTGTTCACTTGTTTTCATTCTGACTGAAATTAAATTTCATTTAATTACCAGAGAGACTTTGGCTTTCTGTTGTCTGAATAATTTGTGAAACTTTAGGGCAATATGTATCCTTCCTTATCTCATATAAAAAGAGGTATCACAGCATTGCTCTATGATCAGACAGCTTTGCAATCCCTTGGGGACATGCAGGAGGCTTTTTGGTGCAACGTGAACTTACTGTTCCTCAGACTACTGGTAAATACGGTTTATTTAAAAAAAAAACCAAGGTGTAAAACAGCAAGTTGTTGGGGGATAAAGTGATTTCCAAGGCAGCTGTTCTGATGGGTGTTGACATACCATCTGTCCCTGTTGTGGTCACCTCTGTATGCATTGCCTCTTCTGTTTTACAGCCTGTATCATCTCATGCAGTATGCAGGATAGTGCTAGCTGCAGTTCTGTGAAATTCATAGTTAAGTAATCAGGGATATCCTGTAGATGTCCCAGAAGTTTAAAATGTGGAGTTGGCATTAGTAAAGGAAAGCATTGCATGCTGCCTTCTCGACTTCTGCCTCAGTAGAAGACTCACAGTTCCATGGAAGGCAGTCTAATAAATGTTGTAAATTCTGAACCCACTCATAAACTGTTTTCTGTTGCTCAGGTGTTTACTGTGCAGCTGACTCTCGGGGACCAGCACTGGGAAGCTGAAGGAACTAGTATTAAAAAAGCGCAACATGCAGCAGCTGCCAAAGCCTTGGAAGGGACGAAGTTCCCTAAGCCTACAGCTCGTCCATCTCGTAGTGAAGGCAAGAATCCAGGTATGTACCTCACCAAACTGATATAAAGAGCAACAAACAAAACCAGGGTGGAATTTAGCTTTCTGGTTTTAACATATGTGTGAAGTTGCATAAGGATTAAAAAAAAAAAAAAAAAAAAAAGGGTGATGCTGACATTATGTTCTGTGTATTTAATAATAGCAATAGTTGGCTTTTTGAGAAAGTCATTTTGATATTTAACCTTTGATCGTGGTAGGCATCATAAAAATTCAACAAAAATTAACAAGTTAAAAATACAGATATTTTTTTTGTCATGTCACTCAGGCTTTTGAAGAACCTACTGCTTAACTTGCTGTTTCTGTTGTATTGCTTGGTGGAATCTTTGAAAATTTTTTATCATAATCTTAAAAAACAAACAAAAAAAACCAAAGCTATCAAGAATTCAATCACAGCAAAGAATAATATTTTTCATAGGTGGGTGAATTTGGCAGTTTTTACAGGATAGTTCAGGAGCTTGATGATAAAGATTTCCTTAAAAATTTGAGTGAACTATTAAATTTGTGTCCAGCAGTTGATTCAGAACTTTGGAAGGTGCTTCATTTGCATTTCTTTAAAGAGAAGTAGAAGTGGAGTTGTAGAAGAGCATTTAAGTTGTTGCTGTGTTAAATCAACTTCTTATTTTCTAAGATTGCTTTGAGGATGTGTCTAGAATGTGAAGTAGCTTCTCATCTCAGCTGCACGTGTGACAACTTTGCACGTCACTTGAGTTGAAAGCTCTCTAAGGATGCCATTATTCCATTCAGCAAAGGGTAAAACTCTAATCTTTAACACCAGCTGTATTCTGATATCACCTACATTCTTTCTTTAGAAACACTTGGTACAGCAAACAGGAAAAATACTTTTTTCCTGTTATCCTGTAAATTATCAATTACTTTTTTTTTTCCTATGAATCTGTTCTGTAATTTTTCTTTTTTTTTTTTTTGCAATTGCTTTAAAATTTTCCTTTACGTTTATGTGACTGTTCTTTATCAGATGAGAATAGTCAGTCCATTACTCATCCACATGAAAAAATGTTCAGAGCCACCAGCAGCAATATACCTTCCTTGTCAAAAGGCAAATTGCAATTTGAAAGGGAAGAGTCATAAAAACCTTTGTTAGTTGTTGAGTACAAGAAGAAATACTCAATTGTTCTCAGTAAACGACAGAAGCCAAAGATATATGCAGCATGTCTGTTAATTTCAAAGGTCAAAAGATATTTTAGAAAAAGAAATTGCTGCTCTGCACAACATATTAGCTGTGCTGTAAAAATCAATCTGTAGCTTAACAAAGCTTCACCAAATAAAAGAAAAAAGTGTATAGGAGAATTGGCACAGTTGATCTAGGCTTGTAATTTAATGTGCATCACACATGTATTTCTTTGAGTTCTGAATATGAAATGGCAAAGTCCAGTCATCTTTTTCTCTGTTTGGAGGCAGGGCAGAGTTTGTATTGCTGCAGTCTCTGGTGACAGCTGGACAACTCTTTATTCCTTTTTATTTAGACAGTGTAACCCCCACAGTGGAGTTGAATGCGCTTTGCATGAAGCTGGGAAAGAAACCTATGTATAAACCTATTGATCCTTACACGGGGATGAGATCCACTTACAACTATACAATGAGAGGTGGTACTTACCCTCCACGGTATGTATTGTATGATTTTGGGGTTTTGCAGGCTATTGTTTTAACTTCTGCTCTCTTCATCTGATGTCACCTGAGAACTACTGACAAATGCAAGTCTGAGGCAAAAAGGTCTTGATCAATACACTCCATGTAAAACTGCAGTTTGTCTTAACTGTGTGGCTTCTGTGGGAAGGGGAATGTGAAGGAACTGAACCAGATGATGAAGTGTTTTGAAGGACACTTGGATATATTTGGCTTCATGAAGGGAATACCTTGTATTTCTTGCATTTCCTTTCTGTGTATAAACAATTAGATGCTTTTTCTTTTTTTTTTTAATTAACTATTTAAGTTGCAGATTCAGTTTAAAGAATGTTCTGAGCATTGAAATGAAGAATTCAAAGCTTGCAGGACTAACAACTTTGTCAAAGCATATTATATTGTCCTTTGCTATTTTAGTTTGTTATAGAATATTGTAAAATAAGAAATGTCAATAGTCTCCTTTACATATATCTCCCTAAAATCTTTTAGACTGAAAATTTGGCTTTTTAATACTTGTGCTTGTGTGCTGAGAAGTGGTTACTGATACCCAAGGGATTCTTCCACATACATTTTATGTTTCTGTAGGTTTGCTTTGTAGGCCAAACTGTTTACTTATGTATGTTTATCTCTTTATAGGTACTTTTACCCATTTCCTGTTGGGCCTTTACTTTATCAAGTTGAGCTTTCAATTGGGGGGCAACAGTTTCATGGGAAAGGAAGAACAAGACAAGCTGCTAAACATGATGCAGCTGCTAAAGCACTGAAAGTTCTACAGAATGAGCCCTTGCCTGAGAAACCAGAGGTGGGAATGGATCAAGTGTTTTAAGTATAAATTGTTAAGATCATTGGAGTTATTGTAGATGTTTTTTCCAAATTGAGAGGAAGATTGTAGTTATGAAATTTAATTCCATTAGGAATGTTTCTGTACTTGTATCACTAGAAACAATTTGATTGGAATAGTAATAATTTTCTATAGAACTAGAAGTTTCCAAAATTAAATCATTTTATTAATTCTTCTGCTGCAGTGTATTTCCACAGCAATGCTATAGGCCTCTGTCAGATGTAATAAGCACTAGAGCTTATATAGGAAGCAATGTCTTACCAGTTACAGATCATATGCAAACTTCTGAAGCCATCTAAGCAGGGCAGTTAGGTTCCAGTACAGGCAACACAGAGGTCAGACACAGGTTTCCTTCCTGGGCAAAATTTCTGTGTGACTGTGGAATGAACAACAGAACATGAAGAAGAGCTTAAAGGAAGTTCATGGACATAGTAAAGTTGTGCACAATGTTTGATAGAAATAGTAAGAAGCAAAATCGTATCCCTTCGGATGTTTACGGTGGCTTGGCACTTCTCATTCCAAGATCCTTGCTTTTTATTTTATTTTAATTTATTTAACATTCTTAGGTGGGAAGTCTCATTGTGTGCACGTGAGTTTCTGGAGCAGAGGTGACTGTGTGCAACCTCTCCATGTGTGCTGAGTATGTCTGGTATCTCTACCAAAGCTCTCAGTGTAGGAAGCATGTTGGTTACAGTCTGACTGTGCTGGAAAAAAAAAAAAAAAAGTAAAATAGGCAATTAGGCAAGAATGTAATTGGGGAGTTTCAGACTGAGATTGAAAAAAAAGTGCAAGTGACAGAAATTAGTGAGGGAACTCAGAGAATATGTTGTGAAGGCAACAGATATTGAGTTAAAAATGTTAAGTGTTTATGGGAGAGACCACTGCCCAGATAAAGGAAAAATTGTCAGATCTGATGTTTTTAGAAGAGCCCTAGGAGGCACTGCAGTATGGAACAGGTTGGAGTGTAGGTGGTCAGGGACAAGCTGGGGGTCTTCAGCAGGTGGGATCAAGCCTGAGGGAGATATTTTCCTTCAGTGCAGGAGGACCCCAAATTTCAGACTGTTGTCATTCTGTCACTGATCCATAATGATCGGTTTTTGCACTCGTTGTCTTAAAAGATGACCTACTGTCCTTGGCAGTTTGTGTACTGGGCCCAAGGAGTCCAACTGCAGAAAATCGTGGGATCACAACTGAATTCACTTCTGTTCACTTCTTTAGAAAAACTTACGTGCAAGTGATTTCTTGACTATTTGTGAAGTTGTTTAAAGCTGAGTAACATGGGCTTCAGAACACACGCTGTACTTCCGTGTGATCACATATTCTTTATTATAGGTTGTCTCTTCCAGTGTAAATGGTGTGAATTGAGAGATGAGGGAAGTAAACCTAGAGAGTTTTTTTTCTTGTTTGCTCATTTTAGGGACATGACTGGGACATTGCTATTGTGAATTATACATGACAAGATCAGAGAATTATTTTATGAATGGAACAGTTGCGGGCTCCTTGAATTCTGTTTTGACTCTGTTCTACATATGCTGGGCAGGTCACTTTAAGTACACTTTCACAAGAAACATGTCCTTTTATTTTCATTTATTTATGCTTGGCTTCTACTGAGTGAACATTAAGAAATAGAGCTGTGCTCTTTGAACAGAATGCTGTTTTATAAAAAGCACTCAAACCAGATCTTAAATTTGGTACTTCAGTAACATGTTCATTAATATTTGTGATTCTGGAATGGCTTTGGGTATGTCTGAGGGAGTTACTATCTTTGTAACAGCTTTTTTGCACTAGACAAGATGAAGAGAAAATAAGCAATGTTTTACCACTAAGCGAACGCTGTTCAGTGAGGCAAGATCACTGAAGGATGCAACAGTGTAAGATCCAAAGAGATTCCATTACATGTGCATATAGTGAAGGCAAATTAAGATTTTTTACAAGCAGACATAGTCCTGATACTTCTACTTGTCACTTGATGTTGCCAGTAATTATCCTTTGAAACGTACTTATTTTCATGGATCCCATTAGTGTGTGTCTGTATATAAAATGTGTAACCTTGAGCTCCCCTAATTTTAGCCAGAAAATATTCAGTGCTGAAGAATGAATCATTGAGTAAAACGAGTAGACTTAAAGCATAAGAATAACCATTTACCATGCCTTCTTAGAGCACAGATTTGGAAGCTGTGGCAGGAGAAAGATTTTAATAAAATTTGCTCTCAGTTGGGCAGAGCACTGCCTGAGCAGCTGATCTAATTTTAAGTTGTCTGTGCTTTGAGCAGGAGTCTGTAGTAGGAAACCTCCAAAGGATCGTTCCAACCTAAATTAGTCTGACTGGAGCTCAGGCATGCTGACAAGGAGGCAGAGCAGAGTTAGTTGCATATTCAGAGACAGAAGTAATAAAGCCTAGATTTAAAGCTTGGAAAGCAGTGTTTTGCAGCACAGTGCTCAGACAGAAATTCTAACGTTTGCCTGAAAACACTAAACCCAGACTTGCTTCTATGTATTTTTTTCCATTTATCTGTTAAATATCAGCTGTTCTTTATAACTTTAACATGGAAGAAAATACTGATAGCTCTGTTGAAATCAATGTAGTTCGCATCAGCAGTTTTCATAATTTGCTTATAAGCAGTCCTTGAGGAAGTACGTGTTGAAAGACTTCCTAGAAAAGGGGGGAATCCCTTTTAAAGGAGTATATTGCTTTTGCAGTTTGTTTAGGAGCTTTGTAATCTATGATTTTTTTTTGCTTCACTGCATGACTTTTTCAATTGATAGAGGGGGGATCTAAAAACTTGTTAAAAGCAAAGTGGAGGTTTGTTTGTGGTCTCATTCTGATTTAGAGGCATAATAGATTCCTTGGAGAGGAGTGCGCATGTGCAAGCTACTTTAAAAGCAGATTCTGTAGGCTATGTGCCTCCATGCTGCTGGGAAGGAGGAAGAAGGTGGGGGTGTGATTATCTTTGATTTATTAAATAAACTGCTCCAGAACAGAAGTGGAGGCAAAATAATTGGTGAAAGAGCCATAGTCTGTCAATGTTTTGACATTAATTTACTCTATTAAAATAAGGACACTGAGAAAAATACCTCTTTTAAACCATTTGAACAGACTTGAAATATGTAAAGAATATACAAATGTAATATAGCAGATAATTTTATGCTATATCTTTGTTTTGTTTTGAAAGTATTTTAAATGGAAAAATAATCCAATGAAGAGAGGCTCTGGTCATCTTGGCAAGGAAAAATGTGGGAATTTCATAAGATTGAATATATCTGGGATTGCAAGGAAGGGAAGAATATTTGTAATGAAAGTGATTGTGCAAATGTTTTTATAGTAAAGTCAGTGACAGGTCATTCTTATCGATGCTGGCAATAATGTGCTGTAACACACCCTGATAAAATAAGGCCTTAAGAGTTCAAATACCTTTTCTGGGATTATGATGCTATTCATTTTTAACCTACCACTTGCATTTGAAATGGATTTTAGAATACGATGATGGAGATTTTTGGCACCAATAGTCAATCTTTCACCTGCACTGTGCCTCCTGCTGAGATGTCGTGTGTGATTCTTGGAACTTAGGTACTGCCTGCACATTTCTTGTGTGCTGCAGTGTGCTTTACTCCTATGGGAGTGGTGCCATCATGTGGTCTTGGTTTTCACAGACCTGAAGGTTGCTCCGTGTATTGGAAGATCAGAAATATTAGATGTTATCATAGGGACAACCTAAAGTCTGCTGGGATGCCAGGAAGGAGTGTATGTATTCTATTTAGTTTGGAAAAGGCTTCCTTAAATGATGGGAATTGAAAATAAATGTCTTCGCATTCTGATCTAACTTGTTAGTAACAGATATTGAGGATGCTTGCTACCATCAAAACTAGATTTAATCACTCAAGCTCACTAGCATATTTCTGCTGCTTCAATAAAATATTTAAATCATTTTTGTTAGCTGGTTGCACAACCAGTATTGCAGTATATTGTAATTGGTGTAATTGTTGCTATTCATCTTTATCATAATCTTTCCTATATCACTGCTGAACACTTAGTGTTGACATTTCTCTGTTGCTGTTACCATGCCTATTAGTTCATGTTGATACCAACATCAGTGAAGACATTTATGGAATCACAATCAAAATTTTATTGGGAGATGCATAGAAGTGCCTGTAGGTGAAATCCACCTGGCACTGCTCTCCTTCTAGCAAGCTGTATCTAGCTGCATCTAAGCTGTATTCTAGCTGTGTCTAGAGAGGAATAATTGCATGCACTGGTACAGGTTGGGGGATGAGCTGCTGGAGAGGAGCTCTGCGGAGAGGACCTGGGTGTCCTGGTGGATGGCAGGTCGGCCATGAGCCAGCAGTGTGCCCTTGTGGCCAAAATGGCCAATGGCATCCTGGGGTGCATTAAAAAGAGCGTGGCCAGCAGGTCAAAGGAGGTGATCCTTCCCCTCTGCTCTGCCCTGGTAAGACCTCATCTGGAGTACTGCGTCCAGTTCTGGGCTCCCCAGTACAAAAAAGACAGGGATCTCTTGGAAAGAGTCCAGCGGAGGGCCACGAAGATGGTGAGGGGCCTGGAGCATCTCTGCTATGAGGAAAGGCTGAGTGAACTGGGTCTGTTCAGCCTTGAGAAAAGGAGACTGAGAGGGGACCTGATCCAGGTCTATAAATATCTAAGGTGTGGGGGGCAGAGTGGTGAGGCCAGATTCTTCTCAGCAGTGTGTGGAGACAGGACAAGGGGAAACGGACATCAGCTGCAGCATAGGAAGTTCCGCACAAACATGTGCAAGAACTTCTTTAGGTGAGGTGACGGAGCACTGGAACAGGCTGCCCAGGGAGGTGGTGGAGTCTCCTTCTCTGGAGATGTTCAAGACCCGTCTGGATGCCGACCTGTGCGACCTACTGTAGGTGCTTTGGCAGGGGGTTGGACTCGATGATCTCTGGAGGTCCCTTCCAACCCCTACAATTCTGTGATTCTGTAAGATATCAGAAGTGTATTTGATTTAAGGCAAGTTTCTGATGGCATGCTCCTCAGATGATTAGAAAAATTCATAGATGAAGAACTGGCAAGAGAATGTGTTGAATGACAGATCTGTGCCGGGGTCTGATAAGTCATCCTTTATTCACATTGGTCCCATTCTCAGAATCTTCATTTTTTTTCTTCTGGCCTTTCTCTTATCTGATACTGTCTTAGTACTTTTGGTACAAATGTCCAATCAGCATATGAAAACTGTATTTCATAAAGGTACTTCCATTTGGAAAGCAGTTCATTTAACACTTAATTTCTTGTTCTGTAGATAGATTTTAAATCTATTGGCCCATATTCCATTTATAGTTTTTCTCCTATCATGAGCACATGAAAATAAGGAGGTATGCTAGCTTTTACCCAACACCTTAAAAGAGCTTCCTAAATTTCAGGTCTGTAGTACGTGTGCTGCATTTTTGCACGTTCATGTAAAATGGCAGTAAAAGTTAAACGATTTGAGAGTTCAATAAACTGGTTGGATTAATCAAATTCAATTTAATAGGATCTTTATTTTAAATAGAGTATGCTTCTTTTAGGTTAACGGAAAAGAACCAGATGATGAAAATCTCAATAAATCTGAAATAAGCCAAGTTTTTGAGATTGCACTTAAAAGGAACTTGCCTGTGAATTTTGAGGTATGTTTATTTTACAAGCTCTAGATCTGTTTTCATTAGAAAATTAAGGCTACACGTTAAGTAGAGTCTTTTCTAGGTAACCCAAACAACTGACTTTAACATGCCTTGTTAGTTGTGAGTACTTGTTCATTTTTTGACAGTCACCCCAGTTGTCTCAGAGTTCGTAAGGTTAAGTGACCAAAGAAATCCAGCTGTTCACCAAGTCATGCACTAAAATCATAGCATGAGTGAACAGCTATGCTGTGGTTGTCTGTGCAATCTTTTCCAAGTTTTTTTTTAAAAAAAAACAGTATTATAGTGTAAAAACAACAACAAAAAAACGAAACACAACCCCATATTAAAGATTAGAACACTGAAGCACGAAGTCAAGGCAGAAGAGTTGTAACTTGCTCTGAAGGAGCTTATTTATGGAAGTATTTTCTTAACTGAGCACTGATGTGGACTACCCGCAAGTTGCAGAATCTCAGATAGGTTTCTTTTCTTGCCGTGAGGTACCTCATGTGCATCTTACTTTCCTTTCCCTTTGGCCTGGCTGCTTGCTGCCTCTTTGCCCCTCCTTGATCATTTAATTACCTCAAATCAGTAGCTTCGATAGGAGCGTTTTAATTGCACCAAAATATTAATTTATTGTGTTGCCTTCCTGAGCTGGCGGAATAACGTTTCAATCAATTATATGAATGCTTACTGTAAGAAAATGTAATTGTGTGTAACTAAATTGCTTTTTAAACTGTATTATGAAATTTCATATGAATCTTCCAGTTATTACAGATTGGCATGAACATCACCAGTAAAAATGTACTGTCACAAAAAGCCAGTTGTGGGTGGAAGCTCTCAATTCGTTTTTATTTTTTGACTGAGTGTCTTGAAGTATGATTTGTTGGGAATGGAGTTAAGACTAACTCTGTAGTAAGCAGCTAGCACTTAAATGTTTCCAGAACTACTGATTTCTAAGTTAAATTGCTGGATCCCAAATAATGGCTTTCTCTGTGATGTTCTGTTACTGTAACCTAATGTACGAGGTGTTATCTGCATGGCAGTTGACAATGAAATAGAACAGTCATTTTGAAGGGGTAAATAAGTAAGATGGGTTAATGACTGGAATATGTAAATAATGTTCGTGGGTTACTGCATCTGGTCTTCTAAAACATGTATTTATTTGGGTGGGATTATGTTATTAGAGGATGATTTACATAGGCACTTCATGAATTTTATCAAAATTTGAAATCTCTTTATCCATAGTGCTTGAGAGAATTTTGCTATAAACAATGTGCTGTACCATTTTTAATAAGTGTTTATCACGCTTTCACTCAGTTTTTCCCTCTGAAACAGGTGACCAAGGAAAGTGGTCCTCCCCATATGAAGAGCTTTGTAACCAAGGTGTCGGTTGGAGAATTCATGGGTGAAGGTGAAGGAAAGAGCAAGAAGATCTCAAAGAAAAACGCTGCAATAGCAGTCCTAGAAGAACTGAAAAAATTGCCACCCCTTCCTACGGTTGAGAAAATGAAGCCACGAATCAAAAAGAAAACAAAATCAATAGTGAAGGTAAGAGACAATGTAACTGCTGTAAATCATCACGCGAGAGACATTTCCTAGTCAGTTACAAACACACTTAGATTGCGTAACATTCATCATCATTGTGGTGCTGGAAAAGAATATTTTGCTCTCACTGGGAGCAAATGGAGTTCCATCAATATTTTTACAACAGATTGTAATTAATTCAGAATGAAGGAGAATCCATGTGAAAGAATGAATGATACCAGAAAAACAAGCTCTGACTTTCAGTCATTAGTGTGGGGTTTTGCATGATTTTTACCTTCTACAAATTCTCCTGCAAGCCTGTCCTTTCCACCATATGATTTGAATCTCTGAAAGTATTTCCAGTGGTAGGTTCTATACGGTCAGCTATGACAGCAGAGCCAAACAAATTGGGTGTTTCTCCATGGCTGCAATGGTATTTCATTAAGAAATTTTGGTTTTAGTTTGTTTCTATTTCAGGAAATGAGTTCAGTGGCTCAGTTTTCTTGACTCAAATGTTCACTAATTTTGGCTTATTTCCTGAACATTTTTTTTGTATAGCTGCAAACAAGTCCAGAATATGGTCAAGGCATGAATCCCATTAGCAGACTTGCCCAGATACAGCAGGCCAAGAAAGAGAAGGAACCAGAGTACATGCTCATCACAGAACGCGGTCTTCCAAGACGCAGGGAATTCGTCATGCAGGTTTGTTTGCTGAATTGAGAAATTTAGTTGTTTGGCTGTGATGTTTCTTTTTTTTTTTTTTCTTTTTTTGTTGTTGGCTTATTGTATTCAGAGTGTGATGATGGGTAGGATTACAGCCGAATTTGCACTGAATTTGTTACAGAAATATTAGTAGATTCCACCCAAGGGAGGCAGTGGTTCAAGAAAAGTGATCTGAATCATGTTTTAAAAAAAAAAAAGGATAGGACAGCAGAAGTCTGCCTGTGCCTTCCTACTGTATTTAAAGCTTTTTATAGTTTTACAACGTAGGATTCATTAAACATGAACTAAATAATTCTTCATTTCTTCCTTCCCAAGATTTCTTGTGTGTTGCCTTGGAGTACAATGATTTCTGCATTCTTTATTGCAAATTCCAATAGTGCAGTAGTTTTTTGATGTTGACTATCTGCTAGGCTCTAATAATTATGTCTTCCAGCCCTCTCTTATATTCTGGAAAAAGCAGAAAAATCAGTTCCTTTCCAGTATGTTAGGAAAAATTGCTAAACGGTTAACTTCAGCTTGAGAAATTGTATCCACTGTGATGCCAGTTTTGAGCATTTAGGCTGGTGCCAACATGTGATGATGAAATACAACTGATTATGCTATTTCTGTTTGTTATTTTTTGCTTGGAGGGCAGTGATTGAAGATGATAAATAACAGATTAATTGTTGCTTAGAATAATAATTTGAACTATCTTGTGACTCCTGCTGTATTGAAGATACAGGTGAACAGTGAGTGAACCCTAAGATTCAATCCTAAGCTTAGGATTTTACTTCTCTTTCTTCCTCTTCTGTCCAGGTGAAAGTTGGTGTACACACAGCTGAAGGAATGGGCACAAACAAAAAGGTTGCTAAACGCAATGCAGCTGAAAATATGTTGGAAATTTTAGGTTTCAAAATCCCTCAACCTCAGCCTCCAAAACCAGCATTAAAGACAGAAGAGAAGGTAATATTCTTTGAATACTGAACGCAGAGTGTAAACAGTAGCAGCTTTGCAAGACAGTAGAGGTATAGTAAAGCCATGCCTTCTCCAGTGGTCAGGAAGCCATTCTGTTGAGGTGACTTCTCTAAACAACTGTATTTTGGATACATCAAGGATTCAATTTTGCAAACAAATCAAAGTCTCGTTAGAAGACTGAATGAATGTATTTTCCAGGGAATGGTTCAGTATGCGAATATTTGATTGATGCATTTGGTCTTAAAAACTGGCAAACATGTAGGGTACGTTGTATATTGGAAGCTGTGGGTAGCTTTATCAGTAATTTCAGTCACAAGTTAGCAATAGTTTTTTATTCTCTTTAGTCTCCTAGCATGGAAAGAGCCTTGCATTCTTGCCTATTGATTCAGCAGATGTGAAGTTAAAATAGCAAGTCTTGTTTTCTCTTTTTCATGTATGTGTCCACTTGTTTCCAATGCATTCATATTGTTACCAGCAATATGAACGTCGTTTTAAATGGCTGATTATGGGATCTAGTTCTCAATAGCTGTGTTCCTAATAGCACTTCAGTAACTTGTAGATGGCTTTATTCGTTCGATAAGAATCACTGAACTTGTCTTTTCTTTATAAGTATATGAGAGTAGAGTTATTTGAATAATAATTCTTCAGTAACATTTTGACAAGTCAGACTCTATACATTTTGAAAACTTTAACACTGGAGGGCAAAAAAGCTTTTACCTTTAAAATTGTTTGAGCTCGTTTCTTTATTTTTAAGACACCAGTGAAGAAACCAGGTGATGGAAGAAAAGTAACTTTCTTTGAGCCGGGCTCTGAAGAGACTTCAACTAGTAAGTAACATTACTGAAAGAAGCACAGCCTCCATGCATTTCTCAGTCCCTTCAAAAGCATTATTTAACATGCTATAATAAATGGAAGTGTTGGGACAATTTCTGTGTGAAAAGGTAGGGAGAGGAGAGATCAGTCTCTTTGACTTAGGAGAAAGTTTCTCTGGTATAGAGCCCTCACTTGATGGGAGCAGATTCCCTGGAAAAGTAATGCGATTTCTGTCAGCCGGGGTTAATGTTCCAGGTTTGGAGGAAGAGTTGCAATAAGCAAGCTCTGCATTGGTGGTACCTTTCTTCTCCTCAGGTAATAAAGAAGACGAGTTTAGGATGCCTTATCTCAGTCATCAGCAGCTTCCCGCTGGAATTCTTCCCATGGTCCCTGAGGTTGCACAGGCTGTAGGAGCCAGTCAAGGACACCACACCAAAGAATTCAATAGGGCAGCCCCAAATCCTGCCAAGGCTACTGTAACAGCAATGATTGCTAGAGAGCTATTGTATGGTGGTACTTCTCCTACTGCTGAGACCATATTAAAAAATAACAACTCATCAGGCCATGTGCCCCACGGACCACTTACCAGGCCCTCTGAACAGCTGGACTATCTTTCCAATGTTCAAGGAATCCAGGTAAATGTTCAGTTTCCAAGAGTCCTTCCAGGGCTATCAAAACTGACATAAGTTGTTTTAAAGCATTTTAGTTCTGCTGTTGACTGATGTTCATGTAAACACTTTATCTACAAAATATACTGAGTTCTACTTTTTTTTGTTAATTTTGTTGTTAAATATGCATTATATACTAATTCTGAGGCTCAATTCGGTGCTGGTGTGTAGGCCTCTGAGAAGAACAAAAATGAAAGTAGTGTTTTCTGAAAACTGTCATGATGTGGGAACATAATGTGGATTAGTACTTGGCTGGTCTGAAATCAGTTTTTCTGAAAAATTGATGCTGCCATAAACTGTGCATTTACTTAGGGTTAGTCCCTTTCATTAGAATCACATTTAATTTCCTACATTGATGCTTTATTGATATTTTTCTTAATAATGAAAGCTCCATCAAAAAGTGTAACAGGAAAAAATTCAGGTAGCAGTGAGCAGAATAAAAATCCTAGAAATAATCATTATGTAGTAATTGTAATTCAGAAGGCTTGCGGAGTTCTTGTGATTACTCAAAATTGTTATTACAACGGAAGTAAAACTCAGAAGTAAATGGTTCTGCTGGCTGGCAGATAATGAGTAGAGTTTGGCTTCATATGTTTAGGCATATAATCTTTAGCAGTTGTAATGTATTATTGCTTATACTCGGTTAACTGAGAAGAACTAAATAATTCTCTTTTCTTTAGGTTGAATATAAAGACTTTCCAAAAAATAACAAGAATGAGTTTGTGTCTCTTATAAACTGTTCCTCTCAGCCACCACTGATCAGCCATGGAATTGGGAAGGATGTAGAATCTTGTCACGATATGGTATGATGAATCTTACTGAAACGCTTTCTTTTTTGTCTTCAGTGAGCTGTGGGATGCAGCAGATAGAACAGGATTTTGTTGCTTCTGGATAATAATTAAATGCTGTACAATTCCCGGACTATTTTCGTCAAATACATCACAGGTTGCTAAAATAACTGATGAATAATATCAGCATCTAATTTAAGTAACCTTTGACATGCTTAATATATGCTAATAATTTTGTTTTACAGGAAGTACATTTTTTATCTCAGTATTATGGGCCCTGAACACATTTTGAAGAAAATGCATAAAAAGGAACTTCTAAAACACAAAAGCACATAACTTTTTTTTTATTTTTCTTAATGGAATGGGCTGATATCTTATTTGAAATGATAATTCTTAGATTTATATTATTACCAAATTTTCTGCTGGAGTGGAACCCAAAAGGGAACGAAATGCAATAAGCCATTAAATAGCAGAAGACACTCTAAATCTGCTAAAATCCATTTATAAATAAGGTTGTCTTATTCACAGTAGCTGAAATACGTTCTGTGAAAGAATAAGTCTTCTAGAGATTGAATTTTAAGTGATCTGCTATAAAAGACATTACATATTGTTAGCCATATGTACGCAGACTACTGTAACTTGGAAGAAGATTATTTCCTTTGGTGTCTAGTGGTGACAGACTAAGGTAAGAGTTTGTAATATGTAAATACATGTAAGAAAACTGATTTGACTGATTTTTTTAGACTCAACATTTTTCCAGTAATTTTATAATAGCTGTATTTTGTTAGAGATCTCTTTGAGCTTTGTCACTGAGATTTGATGCCTATCTCTATATCCTGCTGTAAAAGAGCTCCTGGAAGACAAAGCACGCAAGTCAGTGTAGTAGGTGAAGGCAAAAGGACAGCAGCATTCAAGCTTAACCACTGTGATTTGGTAGATGTGAGAGCATTCCCATGTTCAGATGTTCAGCTTTCGCTAAAGCATGTGCCATAACTAATAGGGTGTTTTGAAGAGGTGTACCTGAAATTGAACAACACTGAAAAATCTTTTCAATTCTTAAAGGAAGTAACTTCTGCATAAGCTGTGCCACGTTAACAAAATGTACTTCTGTATGTGGTTGCGTGCCCTGTTTGTCTGTCTTTGATATTTTTGTCTTTTTTTTCTTATTCTGTGGAGGACTTTTTGATTCTGTGTATTTTAAGGTCCTTACCCAAGTCCTGTACAGTTGGAGCCATTATTGATTTTGTCTTTTGCCATGATATTAATAGTACTGCTGAACTGATGTTTCCCTGTTGCTAAAACAAATGCTATGGGAATCCTCTAGCCACTGTACCATTCTCTTGTTTATTGTAGTAAGATGAAATTCTACACCATTTAATATTTTCTGCTGTAATTCTGATCCTTAAAAAATACACTGCCAAAATTAGAATGCTTACTTTGAGTCCCAGTCCCCACTTCATTAACAAATGAAATGAACTCGAGTTGTTGAATGTTACTTATTTTCTTTAGGCTGCATTGAACATTTTGAAGTTGCTGTCTGAGCTGGACCAACAAACCACAGAGATGCCAAGAACAGGAAATGGACCAATGTCTGTGTGAGTGTGACCCATTGACTTTCCCTTGTATTATTGGAAACGTGTAACCCTAAGATAAACAAATAAAACATGAGGGTTTTTTTCTTTGCCAGAGAAGTTAAAATACCAAGGGCTGTTACCTTGCTGAGAAGGACGAGAGGGTAGGTTTTATGATCCAGCTTGTAATTTTCACGTGTCAAATGCAAGTTATTAAGCTTCATGTTACAGCAAGTGGATAAAATGTGATGGCTGTGATACACAGGAATTTTGACTGTGATATCTCTGCTTGTTACGTAGTTACATGTATTTGTAAATAGTGTGATGTTTTTCTGTGGATTTAAGTATTAGAGCAGCCTCTAGAAATTCCCTGTGTGTAAATTGTAATCTCTGTTTAGATTTCACAGCTTGCTCACAGAAGAAATGGTGGGAGGGGAAGAGGGAGGGTGATTTGTAAATTTGTCTTTTAGCAGAAAAAAAGTGGCTTTTTGTTCTGTAATTTAGATAACAAACTACCAAAATAGTTGAATCAGCAAAGTACTGATTGATTAAAAATTGAGGCCAGTTGCACGTAAGCAGATTGTCATCTGCACCTCAAATCCTTTGTATCAGATTTAGAAGTGTTTTGTTAGTGGAAGTGGTGTTTTATCTCATAAGTAACAGATGTTTCCTCATTCGTAGATGTGTGAAACAAGAAATGGAAAGTGATCCTCTTCTCAAACCGGCTAACTCAAACACTTTGGGACAAACACTGGACAGCACTGCCTAAAAAGGCTTTTGACTGGACCCAAACATGAAAGCACCAGAGAAAATCAAATGCTTCCTATTAATGTAACCTGTTTTAGAGTGCTACAGTCTTTACAACCTACTGTAGTGTCTAAATCATAACTGTTGCTTTTTCTTCAAACAGTGATAAATTTTTAGTTTCATTATGTTGTTTTGATTGAAATGACACTATAAATTTTTCATTTAAAAGTTTCTTAATTGTATCTAGAACGATAGCACAGTTTAGAAACTTTGTCTTCTGAGACTGACATGTTATCTGTGAACTAACTTGGGAAGATCATATCCATGTATGTGGTTATTTTGTTTTTATTGAAATAGCAAGTTTCTCTGCAAACCAATTGTGTGCCCACCATTTTTAAGAAGTCCAGAATTTTCTCAAACCTGGTGTAATTATCCAACGGTTGAATGAATTATTACACTTCAGGAATTTTAAACTTCAATCATATTTGGTTAATTTCTAGTTTTGTTGAGTAGGGGTATGGGAGCTTGAATGCAACGTGACTTCAAGTGATCTCTGATCTGTGTTTTAAGGATTGTGCGTGTAGATGGCACACAGCTCACTGCATTACAGGATATGATCTCAATGTATAAAAACCGCAGATTGATTTTCCTTGAGTGCTTTATGCTGTTTAATTACATCTCCATGTAGGGCTGAAAAAAATTACCTATGTTTATATATAAACTGTGTTGCTTTTGATGTTGTGTTATTGCGCACTGAACTGTGTGCAATAAAGTATTTGCATATGGTCCAGGTAAAGCACGATAGCCTTGCAAGTTAAGTACTGCTTCAGTTCATTGTTTACGCTGGAATTTTTTCTCCCCATGGAATGTAAGTAAAACGTAGTGTTTGTCACCAATAAATGGTAATACTAAATTTTTTTGGGGGTTAATTTATTCTTGTATGCCACTACAGGGGCTGCTTTTCTATAGGATTTGTAATGCTTGTGATATAGTCCGGGCGGTATTGTAAAGCTATGGCGTAACTGTACAATGATTATCAACAGCATATAAATAACTACTATTTAGTGATGTGGAGAATGTGAAAAATTGGCAAGGTCGAGGAGATTCAAAAGTAATGTAGGTACATCTTGTAATTTGTGCCACAGTGTATTAGTGCAACTGTATTCATGGGAGCTTAAACTAACCTTGTGATTATGACAGGAAGCCTGGTGCAACAGGTTGGAATGATTTTTCTCTAGTTTCAAGTTTCCTTGTTTGCTTGTAATTTGAGTCATAACTTTGCCTTGCACTTAGTAATTCTGGGGAAGTAGTGCTTTAAAAAAATGAAACGAAACTTTCCCTCTAGCAACAGAAATTGGCACTGTGGGCTGACCCATGGCAGTGTGTCATTTGGATGTGAACTATGTTCATGTGTACTTAACTGGTAATCTGTAGCAACACTTCTTATATGCAGTGTGTATAGTAACTCGTCGTAGAAAGCAGTTACTGCACATGTAACTCTGAGCTAAATGTCTCAGCCTTTTTTATTTGCATTATCAAAAGCAATTGGGCTACATTAACTGCATACCAAATTTGATGGAATCAAGTTGGTTTTGATCATTATAAGCGCAAAAAACATTGTAAAGGTTTTGTTTTTTTTTAACATTTGTAGAACTAAATGATGTACATTGAAAAATTAAAAGAAACTTGCTAGGCTGAGGCTTTGTATTGCAAATTCTTACAACTTATAAGCTATTTATCAAACAAAACTGGGAAACAAATACCACATCGATAGCAGTGTAGATGGTCTCCCTGCACCTATCTGCTGCAACTTAGTTTTCTCTTTGAATGGATCTTCTGGCTTTTTGTAAGTCATTTGTTGATAATGCTGTTTCCTGTGAATTTTAAGGTACTTTGCCACAGGTGTCTCTATTTCAGTGCTCGTAAATGCATCAATGATCATAGAGGTGCTGTCTAAGAGAAGGTTCTTTTTGTGAAAGACCTTATAGTAAGAGCCATGTGATGGAAGAATTCATGGCCATGTGTGGATTCTAGGTAACACAAGTGAGTTCTAAATAAGTGTGGGGTTTTTTCTAGAGCACTATAGTCACTTTTTTTTTTTCTGTTGACTCCTCTGTGCTCGAAGCAGCACGTGCTGATAAGAATGATTGCTTACCATACGTAATGGAAAGGCTTTATATTACACTTTAGTTCAGCTGACACTACAGGATGTTCCACAAAGAAGAGAAATATAAAAAATAAGAACAGAAACTGAGGTAAATAAGAAATACCCTGACTGCAGTAATCTAACAGGCTAGTGTTGGTATAAAGTACACATTTCTGAGTACTAGCAAAGTGCTGTCTGAAAAGATGCATCTTTGGATTCTTTCTTCAAAATAATAATCTTTGAAATAATAAATCTTACTACGTTCACTTTCCAGTCTTTATAAAATCTTTTGACTGCAACAGAGTGAGCTGGAGCTTCAGAATGTGATCATCAGTCTACATTAGCTTGGGCTCAGTGCCACACTTGCAGTCTTACCTTTCATTAATGATCCCATTACAAAACAAACAAAAAATGTATAAGGTCTGTTCTAAAACAACCTTGTCATATTCAGATCTTAATTGGCTAATATTGTTTTCCCTCCATCCGATTTCCTCCCTGTTATCTTATTTGGCTCTACTTAAATTACGACCAACTTTTTTCGTAAATGAATGCATGTTTCCCCGTGTTTCTCCCAAAATATTTGGCAGTATGACACTACTGTTCTTGCTGTCCCAGAATCTGCTGTATATTTAGTAAACTGTGAAATTCTGCACTCCTTTAGTTGTATAGAGAACTTCCCTTTAAAATTACCATTTCTAAAGGGGAATAAAGAAAACAAAGTACGTAGTATGGTACATCACTCTTGTAACTATTATGCTAACAATTGATACAGTGGCCTTGTTTCTTTTCAGAATTTATGACATTATTATTCCAGCCTTTCATAGAGCTGGTGTTCTGCAAGTGGAGCTGCTTTGAAGCTGCTGCTTTGAGGTGGAAGAAGGTGATTCAATCCTGATTCCCAAAGGGACAGGTCATTGAATGATAGGAGTATGGTGTGGCAGAAAAAGCCACTGAATTTCAGTCCACTTAAGCCTTTTTAGATCTTTTTAATGCCTATCCATCCTACTTTCAAAAGGAAATACAGAGCACACGAACTGTAAAGTAGCAGCTTGGGATTTTCAAAAAGATTCTGGAAGTATTTTTATGTTAATTTTCTAGTTGTTCAGGTTATAAATAATAGCAGCAGAGACTAGAGAGAGTAGGCAGTACGTTTTCCTTCACCAAAGGAAATGTCCTATCTGCCAGTACTCCTTGGCTTGGATGGACTCTAGTCTTCAAGTTGTTATTTTCTGGTATTGGAAGGAAAGCACTTATTACTGCTTTCAAAAATGTCAAAGCCTTAAGCCAGTTCTAATGTCTAGCAGCTTTTACATTGCTTTTCTTAAAGTGCTTCTCTGCTTTTGTCAAGTGCTGCACTTATTAGTGGATCTTGTCAAGAGTGATACCATGCCACTGTTTGTTGGAGAAATGCAGTCAAATGTCCCATTTCAATGCCCTGTATAAGAACCTGAGAATTGGCTTTGTAGATGTGCTGCCTACAAAACTTAACAAAGTGAAGCCTTTTCCAGTGCTGTGTTACTGGGCTTAATGATTGCTGTCTAAGTTTCCTATTTTAATAACAACTTGGACTCTAAACATGGTGTATAAGGTGGGTAATTGAATAGCCAAAGTTCATTCAGGAAGTATTATTTGCTTTCTTCAATGGGTCAGTTTGTTATTCATGAGCTGAAAAAGTGCAACGCGTAAAGGGGAATAACTAAATTCATTTCAGGGAATTATTTTAAAGCAAATTATTTTATCTGTTATTAGGAAACCCTCACTTCCCAAAGGAAGAGAAACAATTTTTCATGACTTCCACACTGAAACTGATGGTGTTGGATCTTGCAAAAAAGAAGAATCTGCAAAATTTATTTTGGAGAATGCTGACCTGTAGGTAGCCACAGTGTGCCTACATAATGAGCAGCAGTGTGGATTTACTGGGATACATGTTTTTTCCATGATATTAAAATGTAGTCCCATATTTCAAATAGTGTTTAGAATGGCATTTTGTTTCACACTTAGTTCTAGTTGCAGTGACAGCGCTATCACTGAAGCTCTTATACTGGTTCACCTTGTCTCAATTGGACTTCAATTGGAAGGCTGGTGTTTTCTTAGGATAAATCCTGCCTGAATGGACTCAGCCAGGAGATCTGCCACTAGTAAGGCACTTATTTGCCCAGAGGATTGAGAGCATTCATTTTATTAATGTACATTGGAGTTAAATTTAGACGTACTTGGCATTCCGTTGCAATTACTGTATTATTTAAGGATCAAACCAAAATTCTGTTCTAACTTGTTTGTCAAAGTTTAAAGTAGGATTTTTGTTCTCATGTAATAATGTGTAAAGACAAATGGTGAAGGCTGCAGAAGTGCCTAACTCCAGGAAGGGGCAGGATGTTTGTGTACCATTTGATGCAATCTTGTTTTGTGAAGCAGCCACATAATTGTTTGGTGCTTTTATTTTGAATCTGCAGATAAACAGAACAAGTGTGTATCAGTGTAAAAGCTTCCTTAAGGGCTTCAGATTAAGAAATACGGTCCAGAGATAGTTACCAGTCTGAAAATACTCAGCTTAATCTCTTGACTGCAACATGCTGTATTGCTTTCCATTACCTCCTGCTTGGATTTATACACTTACTTAATACTCAAGAACTTCTGAACAAGAACCTCAACATCCTGTGAAAGGAGGTTAGGGAACACAAGTTGTTAAAGCAAAATCTCTAGGATGTTCATTTAATCTCTCTGGATTAGAACTGCATTAAGAGCATACAGATGGTGAATTTTACTTATCCAAGAGTTTATTTTATTCTCAGACAAATTATTTTTTGTACTGCTAGCAGCATCCTAATGAAACAAAGCGTATTCAACTAGAAATGAAAATAGCACTTTTAAACTGTATTTCCTCTCCTACTTCCAATTTCACAGTATTTTAGCAATCTGCTAAGAGACAGTGTTTCAGATTTTGAATGTCTTTATTTATGCCAAAAATATCCTTGACAGAATGTGCTATTAATACTGTCATCCTAAACTACCATTGTTTCATTACTTTTTTTGTTATTTTTATTTTTTAGAGAAGATATGCTCCTTAAGAAGGCAAACTGGGCTCTGTGCTAAAGGGACAAAACCTCTGACATTTTTCATGGCTAAGTCTAAATGCAAAAGCTGTTTGGGTACAACTGAGCATCTCTATAGGTGCAATCTCCTATTCCCCATTTTAACATGGGTACAATCTCTTAAGTTGCTGTTCTTGAAATTTTAAAATTGTTACAAAGTACATCACAGTAAAGATATATCTTGTGGCCTGACTGCTAAGTATTGCTTTCATTGTAGTTTTTACACAGCAGATTGGTTTTTATGGAGAGAAGGCTATTTAGCTCTTGCCAAGAAAAAACAATTGGGAAATGAAAGTATCACTGAAAAAGTAAATCCATCAGTAGTTTGTTGTAAAAGAGATTCAGTATAACTTCCCTACAAACTGCCACTGTATTTGCATAAAACGTTTGTCTAGTCCCTTTTAAAGATTGCTGAGTGCATACTGAAGTGTTTATATGCTAAAATGTTGAGCCACTGAGTTACTTTGATTCCTAAAGGGGATAGAAACTTGAAGAAAATGTGCTGCATCAAATTCACAGAAGTTAAATACATTTAAATAATTGTCTCTTCTAAGCATTCTTAGCTGGCTGTGTTGTGCTTTCTCTCGTACTGTGTGAGTTGAAAAGTATTGTAACGTATTCCTGCACAGTCTTTCAACATTGCAGTTGAGAAGTTTGTCCCATGTAAATGGACCAACACTCAGTTACTTTTGCATGATAAAAATGTTCACACCCTTCTCTAAAGTTACTTTCAAGTTGATACCATATTGGTCCATTGCTCCATCTTGTTACGACAGAGCAGTGTCTTATCAATGCCTATGTAAAATTAATTTGCTAATAATAAAAGAGAGTAATCTGTAAGCCATCAAAGCTACCTTTTTCCTCAAAAAACATTTTCTTTAGAATTTAGCCAAAAATTCTGCAAAATGTTACTGGTATCGTACATCAATAGAAATTATGTCCTCAGTGCACAGCTGTTAACAAGGCAGTTACTCATCTAACAAGCTGTTTACACTTTCTAAATGACTTATCTGAGCTTGGAAAAACTAAAATGTTTTGATCAATTTTAAGGCTGAACCTGAAATAGATGCATTAAATCAGCATTAAACCCAGCCCTGCATGGCTGCAATGCTTGTATCTTTGGGAAGGCTTGCGGACATAAGAAAATCAACACTGCCATTTCTCTGTATGAGTGTTTTGTTTTGTGTCTGGTGATCAATAGCTACTGACCTCCAAATCTGTTACTGCCAACAGGTCTGAGGTTCCTGCTTCAGTTACAACGTGGCTGTGATCCATTTATGTCATTTTTGGAGAAAAACTCATGGCAGTCTGTAGCAAGGAAAAAAAAAACAAAAGCACAAGAACTTTAATGTGCAAAAAGATCTCTTGCTAAAATTCAGCTGGGTCCCATTTACAGTTCTTGTTGAGTTGCATATGTGACATGGGCTTGCAGTGTAACAAGATTAGTTTTCCCTATAATCTTTTAAAATGTCCTCCACTGGACTGCCTTTTCATCTCTTCATGTTCTGGAACTTGGATTAATGGGATTGAAGTTTTTTCCATGAGACCCATTTCATAAGCTGCTTTCTGGAATTAATTGCTTACAAACACATTTTATTTGGAAAGAATATTTTAATGGTAGTTGAATTATATATACTGTTATACCAAACACACTGCAAGGCTTAAGTACAAACACCATATGGATGTCAGTAAATAATAATAGACAAGATGAATAAAGCAAGACAGGCCGATTTGTTTCTGAGTGTTTAAAACATCTTGTAGCTTCCTGAGGCACTTAGGAAGAGCCTTGGCAAACTAGCTGATCCATTCACATTGAGTGTAGGTCGGGGAGAAATACCTTGTGTGAATTCAGGGCTGTTATGGGGCTCGTCCTCACCAGATACAGGCGCTGGGCTCATTGCGCAGGTCATTTTATAGCTGCAGGATCGCCACGTGCAGCAGTGGCTGGGTTACAAAGCACAGTTCTTTGCAACCCTTCACTCTGTTACTTAGTGGTAAAATGTTTAATTGGAAGTAATTTGCGTATCGAAGGCCACCTAAGCACAAAACAAGTGCTGCTGTGATCGGTCGTTTGCTTTGGCAAGTTGCTGAACATCCCTGAGCCTTGTTTTTTTCTTTCCAAGAAGAAACGAACGAGAATAATTTATAAGATGGATTGATGCCAGAAGCACGGGGTGCGCGCAGCACGTGCCCAATTAACATTCCTGGGCCTCTCCTGCCTTGTAAAGTATTAAAGGCACGGAAGCAAGGCAGACGGGCAGCCTCCTCTCACCTCACTTCTCGCCGTGAGGATGAGCGGGCACAACAGCGACGCCCCTGCCGAAGGCGCCGGCCTCGCGGGGCCCCTCGCGCTGCCTCAGCCGCACCGCGAAATGGCGGCCGCCTCCCATTCAGCACAGTCCGCCACGCGCCCCATGCTCCACCAGCGCGGAGGCGCGCACGGAAACCTCAGAGCTGAAAGCACCGCCCGACATGGCGGCGGATCCCGCCCTCCGCGCGGGTGGGCCGGGGCGGGCCCAGGCGGCGCATAAAGCGCGGTGCGTGCGGCCCAACGGCCTCTTGCTGCGTCGCTGGGAGGTGAGTGGAGGTTCTGTGCTGTCTGGGGGGGGGGGGGTTGGCTCGCTTAGTTCGGGTGTTGCGCTTGGTTTCCTCATAGCGCGTCCAGCTCTCGGCTGGATTTCCCTGCCGCCTTTTTTCTTCCCCGGTGAAGGAGCACCTGGCTTTGCAGCCCCCCTCCCTCGACCTCCGTCCTGTATCCCTGCGCATCGCTGTGCTGAGTTGCTGTGGCCGCGCAGCCCTGCCCCTCCCGGGCCCTGCTGGTGTAGGTGATGACTGAACTTTTTTCCCCATCAGAGCGACAGTGCCGATTACTCCTCAGTCTAGCCAGGTCTTGTCTGATGCACCAGCAGGGAAGCGCTGCGTTGTCCCTCATCCTGCGTGCTCCGTGCTCACTGTTCCTTTGTTTTCTTCCCAGGCCGTGTGTGATGGACGGCTGCAGCTGCCCGCCTCGCTCCGCCACGGTGAGATTCTTAAGTCCTTTAAATATCCGAGTTTTAAGTAACTATGTCAGTTTTAAGGGACTTCCTGGTCTGTTTTTCATGATGTTTTGCCTCGTTATTATCTCCAGAGGCTAGGTGCGAACATTAGCCTAGGTTTTGTAGAGCTGGAAGCAGTTTAGGCCGTGCAGAAGCATTGTAACGTGGGCCTCGTGTTGCTGCGGTTACACGCAAGGTGTCAGGTCTAGGATGCCGATTAACGAGCACCTCGGGTCGGATCGCGGGTTACCGCTGTGTCCTTGGCAGGACGGCGTGGCGCTGGGGCTCGGCCAGCCCGTGCAGACACGTGGAAGCTGCTGTTCGGAGCTGCTGGCGCAAGGGAGCCCATGGGCGGAGCTGTGCCTTCCCCAGGCAGACCGGGCTGGTCCGGCACTTCTCTACTCTGCCGCTTGCTGGTAGGTATGCGGTAGTGCTTATGGGATGGGGCCTGCGGTGTCCGTGGCCCTTTCCTGTGTCTTAGGGTTTGGCGACTGCCCGGCATTCACAGCTGCATGTGCAGCCTTCTGCCCTTGCATTGTTTGGGCAGAAATGTCTCGTGGCCGTAGAGGTTGTACTGCAGAAGTGTAAAAGCTGTTATCTCTGGCTGCCCTTCTGTGTTAAGTTTGCGTTAGCTGTCTTGCGCTGTACTGCAGAAGCCTGTTTTATCATTTTTTGGTGCACTCCAGTGCTTCCCCTGTGCCATGAGCCTGTTGAGCAGGCAAATCAGCTAGCTCTTTCTGGGGAAGGATTCGTGTAAGTATGCAGACTCTATGGATGAGCCTAGAATGGGAGTATGGCTGTGTCACTCTTGGGACCTGCTGGTGTAGGTGATGACTGAACTTTTTTCCCCATCAGAGCGACAGTGTTGATTACTCATCACTCTAGCCAGATCTTGTCTGATACACCAGCAGAGAAGAGCTGCTGTCTTCCACAGCCTTGTGTGGCTCAATGCTAAATGTTCCTTTGGTTTTACTCCTAGGCCTCTGTGAAGGCAGAAAGGCATTGGGCCTGCTGGAGACCTGATGAGATGGCTGTAGCCTGCAGTGGATCAGCTGTGTGATGAAGGCAGTTGTCCTGGCTTGCACCACTGTGCATGAACCTTTAACAGGTAAGAATAGCAAGTTTGTAAGGCTTCTGTTGTTGATTAGTAAAACAAACAAATAAACCTTAGTTAGAAAAAAAAAAAAAAAAGGGTCTTCCAAAATGTTTTGTACCAGCAGGCTTAGCTGGAGCAGACTAGTACATATATAGCTGCGTCCCATTTTTTTTTTTTTTGTTAGATAAATTGTGCTCATAGAACTCATTGTAAGGTCATTCTGCCTGGAGACATGGAGGTAGTCTGCTCAGAGCAGCTGCTGTAGTATGCTATGGGCACTGTCCTAACATGGGATCCCTTAGGAAGAGAGGCTGTTGAGTTTGAGGTTTGAGTGCTAGCCAGCTTGAGGAAGTGTCGAGGGGGTTTTAAATTAGTGTTCAGTGGGGCTGTATGCATGCATGGCTTTACTGCTTCTGCCATTAGTTCACCATTCTCTGAACCTGTCACAGTAGGTGAGAGCATTGCATGGCTAATGTGGGTGGCTATGTAACTCCTTGGACCTGCTGGTGTAGGTGATGACTGAACTTTTTTCCCCATCAGAGCGACAGTGTTGATTACTCATCACTCTAGCCAGATCTTGTCTGATGCACCAGCAGGAAAAAGCTGTTGTGTCCCACAGCTTCACGGGGTTCAATGCTAACAGATCTTTGGTTTTCACTCCTAGGCCTCTGTGAAGGCAGAGGGATGTTGGGCCTGCTGGAGACCTGATGAGATGGCTGTAGCCTGCAGTGGATCAGTTGTGTGACAACTGCAGTTGCTTTCTCTGCTTTGCATTTCCACTTTTGATAGAGGAGCAAAGGTAAGTTGTTTCCCTGGAGACTTGATAAATAGGTAGACTTGAGCATTGTAGCATGAACCCTCTGTGCATTACCTTTGTCCCCTTACAGCATGTTTGAGGTAGCAAGTGAGGCAGTGAGCAGGGTACACACTGCAGGTAGACAGTAAGCTGGAAGCAGTGGTGACGAAAACACTTTTTACTAGTTTACCTGAAAATTTATACCTGTTAAAATGTTCTTGATTTCTAGTATTTTTTGTGCAGGGTGTAGTGCCTTCTTGGTTATTATGGACCTGAAGGCCTTTTAAAAATTTGTCTCAACATCAAGCTGAAGAGCATCTGTCATTCTGTGGTATATGATGACTTCAAACTTTTTTCCCCATCAGATCGGCAATGCTGATACAAACTTACATTTAAGCCAGATTTGTCTGATTCCACAGATGCAAGATTCTTCAGTTTGTCATTTGGTTCTGTATTGAGGCTTCATGCCTATAGGCAGGGAATTTGTGTGTGCTGCATGCTCAAGAGGGCAAACAACTGGAGGGTGCTGTCTGTGCATATCTTAGTAATACTGATTGCATTACATTATTTGACATGCATAAAGTCTAAGAGACTGAAAGTGAAAGGATTTGGGCTTTCAGAAGATTGCCAGCAACAGAAATGGCAGAGAGCTTTGACAAGTTTAAATTTAACTTAAAAGGGCATAAACACAGATTATTTTTTTTTCATTTTGTCCCTTTTCAGTATTGTTAAAATGAAGTGCTGCATATGAAGTTAGAGAACCTTTGTTGTGGATTTATTTTTTTACTTGTGAATGAGATATTCTCCATGCCTTATAAGTGGATAAATGTCAACTTTCAGCAAATTTCTGTTGTGCAGAGAGAGATTGCTTTTGGTGTTTTTTTTGTTTTTTTTTTTTTTCTTCCTTTGCTTCTGTAAGGGATCATATGTGCATAAGAGAATTTTGCTTCATTGAGTAAACACTTGCTGCTGGCTTCATTCAGCTGCAGCCTGATCTTGCTGTTTGTGTAACCCATGTTCAGCTGTTCCAGCTCTGAGGGAGACTGAAGTCTCCTCAATAGCCTGTAACTGGAGAGCACAAATGTGACCTTTCTGTAAAGCACACTAGAATTCTAAAGGAGTATGAGTGATCTGTGTCAGATGGCAGAGCTGATCAAATTAGTACTCTGGCACCCTCTGCTCAGTTCCCCAGACCTTTATCAAATACTATGAAATTCCCCAAATTTTTTTTCTAAGAGTGTGTCCTATTTGGAGTGCCTGGCAGTACAGCAGTTATTGTGACTGCAGAACAACCCTTACCATCTTGAAGAATTTTGGGGATGAGATTTGAAAGTTGTATTTTTGCTGTTTGATGTGGGGTGAACTGACATGATGTTGGATATTTTCTTGACAGGTTGAGTAGATCTCTCAGGAGGCTTCAGGATTTGCTGTTATTCAAAGAACTAGGTGAAGGCTGTCTTCTGCTAATGATGTTTCTCTCCATGCTGCTGCCTGTGATCCTTGTACACACTACAACATCCATATCACTGAAACAACTTTTGTGTCTTTTCTCTTGGTCTTGCAAACTCACAGATGGCAGGTGTTGTGTTTTTTGCCTTCATATGATGTATTTAATCATAATGGATTCTGGAATTTGCTGCATGTTCTACGTAACTGGATGATTTTTGTCTGCAAGGGCTGTATTCACCAGCTGACAATTAATGTTACTTGACATTAAAAAGAAGCCTGAAAAAGCTGTTGTCATATATGATGGTCTTGTGTACAAGGAGAGTTTTTTTAATAAATCTGAGTACAGTATGAACTCAACTGTTGAATGAAATTGTCTTCCATATCTTTAACAGCCAATTTCTGTATGCCCTAGTTGTTGGTTTCTGGAGGCAGGTGGTGATAGTGTATCTCTGGGGTGACTCTCCATTGAACTGTTTCTGCCTCAGTTAAGGAGAAAGGGTCATGGTCTCATGGCAAGATAGCTACTCTTCACATACTCTAAAGAAGAAGGTGCTTAACTGAGATTTGTAGCTGCTGACATTCCCTAGGAAACTATAGTGCGCTGGAAGTAGCTGGCCCATGTTCCAGGTAAGTAGGTCACAGTAACTTTGTAAAATCTTCCATACATGATTCTTTCAGAGAGTTAACAGCAATTAGGAAGGAAGTGAAGCAGATACCAGCTTCTGTAAAGATTTGGTTATCTCCCTTGTGCAGTGTGATCAGCTACAGAAATGTCTTCTGCTGGTTAGGGACTATTGGCTGATGTTGATTCAGCTCCTGCAACCTTCCCCTGGATGCTTTTTGGCAGCCTTCCTGATATGCAGAGGAGGAGAATTAATTATCTATGTGCTAAAGTAGGGGAATACTGAACAAGATGGTTTCCCCAAAACCAGAAAAGTAGTGGGAGCCCTAGAGAATGTTGCTGCTTGTACCTCTAGACTTCTAGTGGCTCTGTGAAATACACACACCTGGTCTCAATGTGAGCAAAACATTTTATCAGTGAACTTGCATTGTGCAATATGCACTTGAGGCAGAATAGTGGTAAGTCTGCCTTCTGCGTGAAGGTGTTATCGATCTGTTAGGAGCATCAGCCTGGCAATCAAACGGTGTCTCCATAGTGCGTAGTCAAACAGACCTTGGCAGATGGCTCATGCAGGTCCTGGTGTGGTAGCATATGTATAGCCCATTGGCAATGCAAATGAAGTAAAACAGCCTCTTGAATTCAAGCTGCTGTGGAAAGCTGGGACTTGTATTAACTGAGTGTCTCAAACAACACAAGTTGAGATTGAAACCTTGGTCTAGTGATGGAAGTAGTCGCCGTTGAGTAGTCAGTGCTGCCGTTGAGAAGCAGCATGCTAGTTAGTACGTTCACTAGGAATGCATTTTCAAACCAACCCTGCAGCCTCATTAGTTTCCTGAGGAGCAGGGCCCCTGTCTGTGTTGCTAGTCCTGGGCTAGCTCTGATGAGTCCTGCATGCTACCTGAAGCAACTGGGTACTTATGCCCTACAGAGAGCTAGCTAGCCCAGGAGCCACAATTCTTGAAGCACCTGAAGGACAAAAATGAGAAGTGAGTGGATAACAGGCTAAGGAAATATGCAGCAGGAAATTATTCCTTAAATTTTAAGTATTTAAGTGCTATTTCTACTGCTTGATAGCAATGTCTTTATTAATACTTAATAGCTTGGTAGTTACTTACAGCCCCTAGAATCTCTGCAGGGCGTTTCCGTTTCTTATAACTGTAAATAACAGTTTCAGTCACTATAGGAGGGGATTTGATATTTGAACTGAGTGCTCTTGAGCATGTATGTCCAATAGGATACAGTGATGATGGAAAATTATTAATCAGCATGTAAAAAGGAGTCTTCTTTAAGCTGGATAGAGATTTTTCTCAATAACTATGAACAGCATAATCTCTTGAAAGAATGTACTGATGAGGGGTCAGGGCTGCTAATCAAACTTAATCTAATGATAGTATCTACCAGCAAGCTTTCTATGGACTGTGGAGTAGAGACTGCTAGTTGTCCAACGGGACAGGTGTATCTTGAAAAGTCCTTTGTGTGTTATTATCTCTTGCCAAGAAATCAGGTTAGGATTGAACTTCTGGTGCTACTCACATATGTGCAGGGATGAATGATAGCACTGAAGATGGCTGATCTGCTGTAAGCAATTTGGGAGCATTCCAGGGTGGGTGCAGGCTGGTGATCTGGGGGAACTGAACTGCATACAGTGAACTGGGCTCAGGGATCTGACCTGGCAGCTGCAGAGGGTGCTGTGTGTGTACCTCTCCCAAAGCTTAGTTAAGATCCAAACAGACAGGTTTTACTCATCAACTGCTCATTTGTGTGTGTTTATAGTTGGGATGCTTTCACTTTGTCACTATAGTAGTTTGCTGTAGTAACAGTGGACCAGTGTTTGAGATTTGTCTGTGTGAACAATTAGTTTGACAGTGGAGAGAAATTCTGAAAGTCATACGCAAGTAAATCTGAACTTGTCAGAGGCTTTTATATTTGGAAGGGTAAAGGTGCTCTTCTATACTGACAGGCTTTTGTTTCAAAGCTTTTTTTTTTCTGGTGTGGTTTCTAATGTGCCTGCAAACAGCAGGGCACCACAGGTACTGTTTCATTATACATCTGCTGCCATAATCTTTCTGGAACTGATTTGGTTCTAGCAGGCCTTCCCTGGCACTCCTTCCAGACCTGTGCTCCAAATCCCCATCCCTATGAGAGGCTGAGTGTGGTCGTAGCAGCTCTGAGCACTCTGCTGTGCTCTGAGCTCAGGTGATTTCCCTATGTGTAACAGCAAGCTATTCAAAAACTTGAGCTGCAATGGGCTTTGTAGTACTACAGCTTACAACTGTGCTGTGAATTAAGCTTCCCTGGTAATAGAGAAACCTTGAAATAAACTTCTTTGGCTTTATCAATGCAGGTAAAATCAGCCCATTTGAAAATCTCTCAATGTAGCCCCTTTGTTAAAAGATGGGAGATTTACACTGAATTTAAAAGCAATTTTCACCTGGCATTTGTTGCCCCAGTGTTGCCTGACTTCTGCTGACACTGGTCACTCCTGACTGTGACAGCTGGATGTTTTGAACGAAGTAATGAAGATTATAACAGTAATGAAGAATAAACAGAGAGCTCCCTGCCATCTCTAAGAGACAAGCAAAGGAAAATCATAGTGTGTCCTGGGCTCTTATTCTGCTGCTGTGAGGTGGTTGAAGAGAGCAGCGAGGACAAAGACAGGATTTGTCAGCTCCATCAATTACAACAGAAACAGGCAATTGTTGTATTGAATATACTTGGGTAACTTTCTAAAACCGAAATCTGCAGTCTGACTAGGCTGATATGTTTAAGCAAATGTTTACTTTTCTGAAACAGCTCTGTTTCTTGGTGCCATGAGCATTTGAGAGGAAAATAGCACAGATTATTGCTCTAGATGTTGCTTTTAATAGCTGTGTTTTCATACACAGTGAGAGGTTTCACATTTGTATTCTCTAAGATTCAGAAATGTTTTTTTGACTGCGTGTGGATTGTTTAACTTTTTTAGACCCATCTGTTAGGTGGGTGCACTAGCTTATGGGATAGCACAGTCCTTTTACTCATTGCTGCTTCTACTGTTTGTATTGTTGTCTCTGCCTTAATCTCTGTTCATCAGTAGATAAAATTACTAAATTATCAGCTGTGTTAACAGGCTAGACACTATTGTGGACAGCAATGAAGTAAAACTTGGTTTTGTAATTGTTCTAGGAAGACACAGATTTAAGGACGCTCAAGCTGTCCTACAGACAGGGAAAAAATATTTTTTGTTGAAGCAGGGGGTTTCTTCCTATAACAGCTTATCTTTAAATGTTATGCAGTTAGAACCTTTCCTGTTCCACCCTTTTTCCCTTGAAGCAGTGGGGTGAAGTCTGCCATCTCAGTGCAACCCAGGCTTGTTTTGGCACTGTGGGATCTGCTGGCACAACGTTGCCAGCTCAATATTGAAGATGATAGATAAAGTACTTTGTGCTAGACATGGTGTAAATTAGGAGCAGTTCCATTACGTTCTCTAGGATCATTTGTAAGTTCATGGAAATATGTTCAGGACTGGTTCTGAGTTACCTGAGATCTGCTTGATTTCTTTAACATTGTATTTAGAAAGCATCCACTGGAGAGTCTGCACTTCTTTGGTGCCTGTCACTTGCTGTTTGATTTTGCATGCTGTGGCAGGGTCACCTTGAAGTCTTCCCTCTAGTGCTGAGAATAAGCTTGACTTCTGTAGCCTTTTCTCAAACCAGATATTAAAGCCAGGTGTTGTCCTCATTTCTGTACACACGCTCCTTTGGGGAACCTTCCTCACCAAGGATGTCCGGGGTAAGAGAGACTAGCAGATGTGATCTCAGCATTGACTATACAAAGAAGTAAGATATGTTGTTCATCTCCAGGTGGTAAGCATTCCTCCAGCAGGCTCATCTAGTGCTTGAGTGTGGTAGGTAAGCAGATGCAGTCCCACATGGTTCTGTTTGCCCAGATGAATTCCCTGAAGCTCATTCCTGAAAGTTGCTCTCCAAAGGTAGTGCAGTACATCAGTACCCAGGGGTTGGCCTGGGGTAAGTCATGCTTTCTGCTCCACATGTGCTTGTATTTCCCACTGTGGGTGGCCTCAAATGTGTTCAACAGCATACTGCTTCTGGTTCAGAGCTGTTCTGTAATAGGAAGGGTGAGACTTTTGATCCTCCCACATACCCTGGAATGCTTGCACATCAGTCCAGGATAGAGCCTGGCCCTTAGGAAGCATCTAACCTGGATACCATTTCTCAGAAGAAACACTGAAGTCTACTTCTGTCTTTGTTTAATAACTGTATGTGCACTTCCACTGTGCTGCACATCTGTAATGGTTGTAGACATTGCCCTACTCATGAGCTGCTATCTCATGCTTCTAGTTGCAAATCCTCAGCAGGCTCATGGGAGTGTTGCTCCTGTTACACTTAGTCTTCATTCATGTTCTTAAGAATTTTGTCTACCAAGAAGAGAGAAAAACATTTTATTCTCCTGAGATAAGATCTGTTTTGAGAGCAAATCCATTTTCTTATAGATGTGGGTCTGGCCCTTCACAACAACAGTTCAGAGAAGACTTTTCCTTTGAGCATTCACTGATTGTGTTTTACAGCAGAATGTTTGTAGGTACAATTTTCTTGGAAATTTGCAGAAGAGGACTGGAATTGTCCGAGAAGTTCTGTTAATCAGCAATTTATGTTGCTGTGGAAACACCTTAATGGAGCTTGTGAAAACTGCCTGGAAAAATGGTTGTCAGAGGTGCTAACAGCAATTTGCATCTCTTGTTGGTTTGTAGC